ATGTATAAAAATAAAAAAACAAAAACAAAAACAAAAAATTGTACACAGGTGTGTGTATGTCTATTGCCCTAGGGCATCTGGTATGGTGCACGTTGTTTGGCTGACTATGTATACTCTTTTTGAGAGCCACGTCAGTCCATTTTTCTTGGCCGGTATGGTGATAAGAGATATGACCATCTATACATCGGATCCGCCATTTTAAATGAGAGGAGAGAAAATGGAATGGGGCCCATTTTTAATGACAAAGAAGCTACTATCTACATGTAGCTAGCGGCATTGCTAGTAAACATGTGAGGGTCGTTTATTGCCAAACTCAGGCATGTTGCTGGCCCATTTCTCTTGCCCGTTAGTAAAAAGATTCATATACCAGATGGCCTTACAATTGAACTAGAAGTGAGCCTCCTTACTTATATCATTTTCATTGGTTCCGACCTAAGTTATACAATTCTTTTAAATATGTGCGTTCACACACTTCAAAAAAATATATATATCTACTCTAATATGAAAGGAAAAGAAAAAAAATGTATTTACTTTTTGTTAATAAATAAAGATGTTATTAGTATGTATAATGAGATTTATTAACATGTGGACGAGAATACCACATTATTGTATATATAACATTATGATTTTTTTTGGGATTTTTGGATTACCTCTAATATAATTCTAATAGGAGTATTGATATATATATATGTAAAATTATTGATAAATAATTATATATAATTTTAATCGGATCGAATTATTATATATCGAATCGAATTAATATAATCTATATTCAATTTGTTAAGTTAACGGATTATCGAATTATAATCGAGTTATTGGATTTTTTATTCAATTCATATCCAATTAATCGGATCGAATTTGAATCGAATCCAAATTAAGATCCGCCTTATTAATAGGTTTACGTTGCCTCAAACAAATATTGTTTATGGTAGTTTCTTATTTTGTGTTGAAGAGGCTAAAACATTTACTGATAAAAGATAGACACAAACACACGATTTAATTAAATGATGGTGGGCCTAGAAGGTTCCAAATTTGTTCGTTATCATTGAAAGGCTTCAATAACAAGAAAAACAATATGATGAAAATTAAGAATTAGCAAGTATTCAACATTTCTACTGTTCTAGAAATGAATGGCCATAGGCACTTTCGAAGCAAGCCTGTTTTGTTGACTTGTGAACAAAACTTTAATAGAGCACCCCATGAGTAATGTGTTGTCTTAATAATTGCCCACTTCCTTGACTTGGTTGCCCTTAACTTATTTTTATTACTATTCTAAATTATTTCTTTTTGTTGACCTTCGAGAAAAAATAGTTAGTTATAAAGTTTGGACTTTCCTTATATATACACTTAAACCCTGCAACATTCCTCTTAATTAATATTTTCCTAAAAAATTAATAATTAATAGACTAATTCTTAAAACTAAATAAATGGGGACACCAAATTGAAAAACAATTACGTTGATTGTGTCAAAGAGGCCAAAAAAACATTGATTAAAACATTATTCTAAATTTTATAGAAATTCTATATGAGGTGTTCGGTTGACTGGGCGCCCTGCAGGTTATAAACAATTTTCACAATTGCTTTTTTACCAACTTTGACATTGCCTCTTCAACTGAATTAATTTATTTATACCTTTATATATATATATATATATATATATATTATCTGTGTGTGTAACATTTTCTTTCCATTTTTGACTTCTTAATTATTCATCTTATTTTTAAAAATATTAAATATGAATACTTCATTGTCAAAGGTCCAAATTTATTAAAACACAAATATCCGCGTTGATGCTCTAATTGTTATCATCTTTGCTATGGATTTAGTCTCCTTCATTCTTCATATATAATATTATTTTTCTTACCAAAAGTTGTAATCTAAGTAGTACATCCTCTCTTTCACGGTGGGAAGTAATGTTCGAGTTTTTGCAATGACAAATTAGTACGTCAATTTCTTCCTAATAATTAAAATGTAAAATAAAAAAGTTAACTTCCTTAATGTATGTAGAATCCATTTGGCAATTACTTTTACAGTGTAGTTTTTCATTGACACGAAGCAGAAGCAGTGTTTTCTAATTTAGAGTGTGTTCAACACTATTTCAAAATTTTTAAAAAATTAAATAGTTAGTTAAAAATGTCATTTAAAATTTTTTTTTTTTAATTTTAAAGCAATCAAAAATATAATTTTTATGTTACTAATTTTGGTCTCTTTTTTAGAAGTACAAATCAAAGCAAATGTTACCAAACAAAAAAATATGAAATAAAAGCAGTTCCCAAAACATGCCTTAGTGAATCACTTCTAGTTCTCCAAGTTGTTTTGCTAATTCACGTGTTCCATGTCCAACCAAAAAGTCTTGAGCATTTTCTTTCTCCAGTTTGACGAGTAGCAAAATGCCAAATGACAAAAAGAGACAGTTTAAACTATAAAGATTCTTTTAGAAGCACGTTTAAAGTAATGATTTTAAAAGAGACAGTCTAAACTATAAAGAGTTTTTTTAAAAGCATGTTAACGAAATGATATTTCTTCCGACTCAACAACCGAAGTATCCTCCGAAACCAATGTGGCATAGCCACGTTCTTTCACTAAGTTACCTAATTTTATCTCTCTAAAAATCTGTCTTTCTTCTTCTCTGCTTCTGGTTTATTTCTTTCTCATTAATCTCTCAGTTCTTAGATTCTTCTTATCTTCTCTCTTTGATTTGAGTAGGGTTTATATATGAAATCCAAGAGAAATCCAGAATTTAAGAGAGGGAAACCAACAAGAGTAATGCTGTGTATTTCTGGAATCTACGGTTGCCCGACGGCATTGCGTGACCGAAAATGGGTCTGCGACGGCAATGGACCAGGCGACTTCCAACGACGGCGAGGCTGTAATTGGATTATCCAATTCTGGCAACCTTCACTGTTGTTGGCAAGCAGATACGTGAAACCCAGATCCAAAAACCTGCCCCCAACTGAATCGACTCAGCCCAGTTTATGAATCAACACATCTGGATCGAACCCAGTACGGATAGCTTTGGACAATGAAGCCAGTTATTCCAAACTGAATTGTTTCGACAAGCTTCATCGACAAATTGAGGAGCATAGCTATACTCTTCTTCTCCTTATCTTTCAACACCACAGCGGCAACCACCCATCATGAGGAATTGTGGTTCTCTTACAGATATATATATATATATAACCATGTTACAAACCCACGCCACCAGAGAGAAAAGAGGAGACGATGGCGGTGATGAATCGGCGGTTGGGCAGTCACCGTCGAGCACGCGAACTGAACCGTGACCAGGGAAGTGGGCGGCGGCAGAACCCATCAAACTGTACCTTTCTTCTCTATAAACCCATTTGTCTCGCCTCCCTCTCTCACCCATTTGTCATCTTCAATCGCCGCCACCATCAAATTTTCAAACAAATTCCCCACATTTACTATCACTATGTAATATACAAACAAACCCAAAATCTCAAAGATGAAGTTTCGAGATCTAAACTCTGAAGAATAAATTGAGAAAAATATTTTTAGGTGATTGGAGTAGGAAGATGTATCACGGCTCTTAAAGTAATGATTTTTTTATTTTTAAAATTTGTAGTCCTGCAAATTAAGAAGAAAGCATAATTGAACACATGCATAATCACCAGGAATATGTTAGGTATTCTACCAACTAAATTACAAACAAGAAGTAATGATTAGTAGCTCTATACCACCAAGAAACAATAAATTAAAGCATTATTGATAATAGTTTGATAAATTACAGGACTTATATATAAATTACTTGTCAACAAAGTTCGAAAAATTAATATAATCTGAAACTTACTATTAACTTTTTTATTTTAATTGACACTATATCTTTCTATGCGAAATGGTGGAAAATCCAAGAGTCAATTGGGCCCCAATTGGGAAATTTGGGTTTTCTAAATCTATACCAAATTAATTTGACCAATTCATAACAAAATTTCCATTAAGCATCTTCTTAGAAGAATAAACATGTATATACGTATCATTACAATAGCAATTACGCAATCTTGACTTATATAAACTTCATGCTTAATTTCTGAGCAATTGAATACAAATTACGAATATAATAACTAGAAGATAGAACTATATACTCTTGGATTAAATATTTAATACATGCAAAAAATAATAATAATAAAATAAAATTTTATTTAACATTCATCTTAAACCCTAGAAACAAAGATCACAACGGTTGTTAGTTTATGATTACCACCATCAAGTGCGGACCTAGAAATTTGAGGTTGGGAGGCAAGTTTGAACTACGTAAGTAAAGTTAAGAAAAGTTTATACATCAATTATAAAAATTCTTACTTTTAAAAGTAAGGTTAAAAGGGTCGAAGTTGTAAATTTACTAAATTTCAAGAAGACACAAACTAAAATTATTTTCAGATTCTCTATTTTTGGTTAATATATTAGTATTTAAAAAAAAAAAAATTGGGGGACCAATTGAAATTTTAATAAATTTTAAGGGTAATACTTACAAAGTAATTACTACCTCTGTGCTATAAAAAATGTCCTATTTGAGAAACTTATTCACAATTTTTCAAACAAAACATCTATTTTGAGATGAAAAGAGTAATATTTAAAAGTTTAATAAAATCTTCAAGAAAGTTTTTAGGCACAGGCCTGCTGGCCCAACCTAGCTCCGCCCCTAACCACCACATTTCAACGCAATGGAAGATAAAGCCTGATAAAGCCAAAAAAAAAAAAAAAAAAAAAAACTGAGTCTAAGTCAAGCAAGTCTTAAAAAATGACAAATCAAACATTTGTTCCCGTCCACACGTAATAATACTACTAGAAGTGAGCGGCTAAATCCGGGCAGTTGAGATCGTTTGACAAATGCATCTCCCTCATGGAAAAAAAAGAAAGAACAAAATTTGGATTGTAGAAAAAACTTTATAATAAGCAAAAAACAATTAATCTTTAATTACTGTCACGTAATTGTTTAAGCCTACGTAAAAACATCTCTATAAATAGCTCCAAAATCCATATTAATTCACTCATCATTTCTCATTTGCTCACACATACAAACACATACAAAACACACATAGCAAGAAGCCAACAAGTTAGTTGGTGCACTTCAAAACAAAATCATGGCCACAAAAATGAGTTTAGCTATTATGCTCGTACTAGCAGCTGCACTCCTACACACCACAGTGGCACAAACAACACACGTCGTCGGAGACAGCCTCGGCTGGATAGTCCCTCCCGGCGGCCCCATTGCTTACTCCACCTGGGCCGACATGTACACCTTCACCGTCGGCGATATTCTCGGTACTATATATACACACACATATATCTACTTTTTTTCTTCTTTTTTTTTCTTTTTTTCTTTTTTCTTTTGTTTTTTTTGTTTAATGCATGAATTAGTAGTAAAACTAAATTGGGTTCCAATTATTTTTCAGTGTTTAATTTCACAACTGGACAACAAGATGTGGCTAGGGTGAGCAAGGAACAATTCTCGACATGCAATTCAACAAACCCTATCTGGCATGAAACTACTGGTCCAGCAAATATTACCCTAACTTCAGCTGGGGAGTACTATTTCATTGGCACCATGGACACCCACTGCTACTTGGGACAAAAGTTGGCCATCAACGTTACCGGCACGTCCGGTCCTACTGCTAGTCCTGCTCCTCCTCCTCCTCCACCCGCCACTCCGGCCCCTGCCTCGCCTAGGGCCCCCGTCACGTATGTGGTCGGAGATGACTTGGGGTGGATCGTCCCTCCCGGCGGCTCAGTTGCTTATGCTGCTTGGGCTTACAACAAAACCTTTATTGTTGGTGACACTCTAGGTAAGAATCAAAATCCAAAAGTGCTTATTCGAATTAGAAACTATCAATCAAATAAAAATTTGAATTGTTGTCTAATTTTAAAAAACAAAAACTATAATTATGAAAATTTATTAATAATCGTTTAGTCTAAAAATTTAAATTGTTAAAGATGGTGTAAGGTGTAACTTTAATTTATTATGTAAATTATGCAGAATTCAACTTTAAGAACGGAACACAAGATGTGGCCGTGGTGACAAAGGCAGCTTATGCAACTTGTAACACCACTAACACCACTACTGTGTTAACAACCAGTCCGGCAAGGTTCACCCTCACTGCCGCCGGCGAGTATTACTTCACATCCACGTACTCACGCCACTGCGAATGGGGGCAACAGCTAGCCATTAATGTCATTGCTTCCAGCTCTGCAACGCCACCTTCACACTCTCCTCCTCCTCCACCAGCCACTCCTGTCCCGGCCCCGCCTAGATCGCCCGTCGCCTATGTGGTCGGAGATGACTTGGGGTGGATCGTGCCTCCCGGCGGTTCAGTTGCTTATACTGCTTGGGCTTACAACAAAACCTTTATGGTTGGAGACACTTTAGGTATGAATCAAATTCTTAAACGGCTTATTTGAATAATTTTTTTAAATCAGTTTTCAAGAATTTTAATTAACAATATAATTTTTCAGAAATTAAACTTATATTAACAATTATCTATTTTAAACAATTTAGATATAATATAACTTTAATATTTAAATCCTCTTTATTGTTATTGTTGTGCAGTTTTCAACTTTGTGAATGGAACACAAGATGTGGCCAAGGTAACAAAGGCAGTATATGAAACTTGTGACACCAATAACACCATTAGCGTGTTAACAACCAGTCCGGCAAAGATCACCCTCACCACCGCCGGCGAGCATTACTTCACATCCACCTACGCACGCCACTGCGCCTTGGGGCAACAGCTAGCCATTAATGTCATTGCCTCCAGCACCGCCACATCGCCTTCCAGCTCCGCCACTGCACCGTCCGGCACCACCACGCCATCCTCCTCGCCCGTGCCTCCGAGTGCCGAAGGACCCTCGTCACTCACAGCTCCTCCTCCGGTCAGCTCAGCCATGTCCGTTGCTGTCCACTCCTTCTCCATCACCTCCTTGTCAATCGTCATAGCTTTCTTGCTAAATTAAATGTGTACTAGATACTACTAGTATTTTTCTCTTCTTAATACATGTATTGTTTGATTTTTATCATTTTTAGCATTATTGGCCATTCTGTGTATTTAAATTTTAGTTATATATAGTAGTTGGTGTTACTCATTCGATCACTATTGTAATTTTGATTATTGAATAAAGATTATTATCATTCAATTGATATATTCGACCTTCACTAATTCCTTGTACTGCGAAATGAATATTTATGTTCTCTTCCAAACATAACATAACATAAGTACGTGTTAAAATAAATGAAAAATAATATTTTGACAGAACCATCCACAGAATACACGTGGGACTCATCTCATCAATTAATAATTTTTTTAGATTTAGGTCTAACTTGATTTCACTAATTCCTTGAGAACAGTTTTCTAAAAATAAAAAATAGAAAATTGAACAAAAAATTTTGTGATTCAATTTTTTAAAAAATTTAATTATAAAAAAATTAATTTTCAAAAAATTATCTTTTATTATTTTCTTAAAACTATTTTCTGTTCTCTAAATTTTTAAAAATTATTTTTAAAATTACAAATCAAGTAAGACTGGATTTTGAATTAACTAATGTTTAGTAATGACATCCACTTTGAATGAAATTAAATATACGAGACAGTCCTCTAAATATTTATGGTATCATCCTTTCGTAGACTTAGCCAATTAATCTCTTCCTCTGCTTTTGATTGATGAGTGTATATATATATATATATTGATTTGGACAACATGTACAAACAGTGTGACATGACATGTCTAGTGATTTTCTCATGTTCTAAATAAACTAATAATGATAAAGGTAGTTGTGAATAATAACTCTCTTTAACTAATAATAGTTGGTATAAACTTATACAACAATTCAACACACTCTATACAATTTTATTGGAACACCAAGAGACATGCAATTCTCCCCATGCTTCCGTGTCATGCATGTCTTAATGTATGATTTGTAAGTAAAGTCAAAATTATATAATAAAATAATTTTGCCACCCAAGCCACGCAAAATAGGTTATGGAAACTAACAAGAATGTAAAAGCAGAAATGTTCGAAACTAACAAAATTTAAGTCACACAAAATAGAATCAGGATCAAGAGCGTGCACGAAAGGATAGAGCAAGAACATTGACATAGTATAAGAGCGACACTCGTTTAAAAAAATTATATAACTTAATTTGCGATGATGCATACATTGTCGAATATCTCACATATTGTGGTAGACCGATGTAATAGGTGGGGGTACTTGCCGATTTATCCAAAAATTCAAACTGTTGGATAATTCTGTACACCCACTTATTTATACCTAATCACTTTTTTCATCATAATTTAATGTGAAACAAATGACGCTTGTTACAACCAACCACTATATGAGACACTCAATAAATTAAGTGTTGCAATATTTACATGCTCATAATGAAAGTTTTAATAGTTGAAAATTAAATTCTAGTTATAAATGGATAATTATTTATACTTGCATTTAAAGTTATATTAATGAAAGAAATCTGTATTACTAATGATTCTAAATTGAATTACAAAATATATATTTTAAATGTCCTCACACACACACACACACACATATTCTGCCTTATCGTGCCAAGTAGAGATTTATAAAAATATATAAATAAATGGGATAATAGGTCAAATCATAAAAGTCAATTGTGTGGGGTAATTTCACGCGTCAATTTGAAGGTTTCTAGAAGTCCCAAAGCCAATCACTTCATTCCAACGATGACGGCCGTATACAACCGTCACAATCTAACCAACGAACTTCTATCATAGACAACCATACACGTGGCACCCATTTAACGGACCTCTCTTTTCCCACAGTCTTCTACGGTCCCACGTAATCCCCCAGCTCACACAAAAGAACCGAACTCGAATAGCCCCAAGCAGAAAACATGCACACACACAGTGTATGTATAGAGATTAGAGAGAGTGTGTATGTGTTTGTCTATGCACACACACACACACACAGAGAGAGAGAGAGAGAGAGAGAGTGTTTACAAAGCGGACCTAACACCTGAGCTTCATGGGGGCAAAACCCCGACCCGAGCCAAGACATTAACAACTAACAAATGAAAACCCCCAACCAAATTAGAAATGAATTTGTTACGATTTACCCCTTAGGCCACTGGAAAATTAAAAAGACAAATTTACCCTTCCAAAGTAACTATGTAGTTTCTTTATAAGCTCCAAACTTAAGTTGCTGACGTGATAAACAAAATCTCCGCAACCAATAGGGTTGTGACAACACGGCGAAGAGATAAAAGTTTCTTTTCTCTTATATCTCCATTACCACATAACTAACCAAACCCCATAACCCACCACGCACAGAGAGCATAAAAGGAAGCCATTGTAGACTTCCTATATTGTCGCGGAAGAGTAGAGGTGGCGGCGACGACGACGACAGAAAAGTGCGCCGTGAATGATTTGAACTCCGGCGAGCTACCAAACTTGAAAGTTGATGACCAGTGAAGGAAGGTCAAGTACCAGTCATGACGATGCCGGCGAGGATCTGGTTGCCGTCGAAAAAGAAGAAAGAAAGTGACGGTGACGTAGCGGTAGTCGGCGGCAAGGAGGACCTCGGTGAGGATCTGGTTGTCGTTTGGGTTAAACGACTTTCGGTGTCGAAGATCTTGCAAGAGCTTGTCAGTGAAATTTGATCCACGAACACGGCTGTTGAGAGGTGATGATGTGTTGGCCCTCATGGTAGGTCTGTAACTCGGGTGGTTTAGACAAGTTTGAGATATAACTTGAGCTCGTCCCAATTACTAAACCTAAACCCAAGTCCAATTACTAAACCTAAACCCAAGCCCAAGCCCAAGTCCAATCATAATCCTATTTTTAATCATAACTATTCAACTCGAACCCAATTTATTTTTTTAAATTTAGGCTTAGATTCCAAATTCCTTTGGTTACTGTATATGGCTAATTTTCATGTCGAAAATTTAATAAGATCTTGAATTTGTTTTGGATTAAATAGTTCTTAAACAAGAAAAAGTTTTTACAGATTTTTTATGTACTTTTTTAATAAATTCTTAAAAAATTAATTCCCCTAAATGTTAAGATTTCACAAATAAAATTGAAAAGAAAAAAAAAAGATAATTATAAGTTAAATATTATATATAATGTACTTAAAATATATATGACAATAATATTATAATTCGGGTTTGAGTTAGTAACATTTTAATTCAAGTTTAATTTTAATTAAATTCAAATTAAAAAATTTTAATCCAAATTTAATCCTAATTATTAAAATGATTGTCTAAATTTATGAAAAATCGAGCTGGACTCGGATTGGATTCGGTTTGCTCAACTCAAGTTGCACCCATGACGGTGGTGAAAGAGAAGAGACCAAGGTGATGGAGTTGTATTGATGACTACCAGTGGTGAGAATCTTTGAGTGGTGACGATATGTGGTGAAGGTTATACAGTTTGAGAAACCAAGTATTGACATTGGCATGACCACCTTTAGTGGGTCTCGGTTCTGTCCACCGGTGGTGGTGGGCTATATTCTACCTCGGAGTTGTTAGAACAGCGGTGGAGATTTGTCGGCGGCCAATGGTTGCTTCTTTTGCGGCATTTATAATGCAACTAGGCGACAATGGGGATCCATAGAAATTAAGGGTATTCTTGTCCTTTCATGCTTCGAAGGGCAATATAACCCTTTAAAATAATTCAACTATTTTTAACTATCAATTCTCATAGATCAGAGGATTTCTTTACATTTTTTTTTTTATAATTTAAAGAATTAGTTACAAGTTTCCTCGTAGTTCAATAGGATTTTTGCATCCTATCACATAATTAGATCGACAATGAAAATAATATTTTGTGAGTAGATATCATTTTAGGCCCACCCTATTTGCGAGTTAATCTCCAGTCTATTGTTCATTAACCCAAATACTGAGTTGACTTATATATATATTAAACGGAGATTCAGTTTTCTTATCGTGGGAAAGCTCTCTTAATGAACTTAACCTTACTCTAATATATTTATCCTTACTCAGTTCCTCGTACTAGAAAATCAAGTATCTCAAAACTAAATTCGGTGGAGAATTTATCTTATGATGGGTTTGTTTTAATTAAAATGTTTTACAATGGAAGGTAATTTTCATGTAAAATCTTGTGTCTAAATTCACATCTAAACCTAACCATTTGGGGATGACCAAAGATGTAAACAAATTAGGAAAGGATCAAAAGATGCAATCAATCCAAACAAGGGTAAATTGGTTTTTTTTTTTAGAGCCAAGGGGGATTAATTTGACCTAAGGTCAAATTTAAATGATGAAACATAAATTTTAAAAAATAAAAAATAAAATTGACCAAATGGACATCGAGCCGATTCAATCTCCTTCATATAGTGGTCGGTCAATTAGAATTATTAAATTTGCGAAATATATATATATATATTAAAACATTTACTAAGAATGCTTCCATGTGATGTGATTCGCTAGTCTCTACTTCTAGAATGATTATTTCTTACACCATTTTTTTTTTTTTTTAGAAGGTGAATTGCATGATAAAACCCAATCAAGAGTGGCCCTCTTCCCACAAAACCAAACAAGAAATTATATTTTAGGGGTTAGAATTTAATAAGACCAATTTAATTTTCCCATTTAATAAGCCGCATGTCGGTAAAATAAATTACATTATTTTCCCATGTAGTAGACATGAGAATTATTTATTATTCCATATATTCAATACAATTAAGCTAAGCAATGAACACTCCATAATAAATTACCAACCATGTTAAATCAACCATATTCTATACTTTAAAAAAGCATCTAAAACAGACTTTTTTATCCTTCAAAGACCTAATTCAAGTTCACAACGCGCATATAAAAATCCTAATTTTGTACTGCTCACTTTTTGCCTCAAAAGTCAATATATGTGTACCACACACATACAAACACACACATGTCCACCGCCCCTTTGGGAGGGAGTCTGCCACGTGCTGCACAGAGAGACCAGCGCAGGCCAAGCAAAACCCTAACATGAACCCACGTTGGGTTCTATGGCTGTGCACCAAAATAGCACCGATCCCATCCACATGGGAGGAGGAGGTGGAGGGGAAGACCCGTTGATTATAATAATCCATGGAGTTCTCATATAAGTCTTTCTTGCAATTCCATGATCTTTCATAACAAATAATTAATTGATTAAACAAATGAGTGAAGAATAATTCATGTAGAACTATACCGGGTAGGAAACAAAGAAAAAGGCAAAGCAGTCGCAGTCAAAAGGTCTAGAAATTCAATAGTTTGGGAGCCTATTTTGAACATGAAAAGAGAGTTAACTCGGTGTTGAATTTGTGTCTAGTGCGATTGCTTTCAAATGGGCTTATCTAATGAGATATTTAGTGCATTTCGTTTCCTGTCCCATATCTATCTTTCTATAAGTACCAGGCAGCATTTCCTTTCAACCATCACAAATTATCTATCATACAAGTTTTTCTAACGAGAGAGAGAGAACCAGGGACGACCTGCAGAACACACAAAAAAAGATGGCCATTCGCGTGGAAATGATCGGTTGTTTGATCGTTGTGGCAGCCACTCTACTGGTGGGTGGTGCAACCGCGGCAACATACCAGGTTGGAGACGAGTTGATGTGGAAAGTTCCTCCCGGCGGCCCTATTGCTTACTCCACCTGGGCTGACCAGAAAAATTTTCAGATTGGTGATACCATTGGTAAGCACTTCTTGAAATATTTCTCCAACTTTTCATAGGTCATTCTGTGAGTTTTGATGCCTAGAAACATGTTTGATTTCGGCTTTAACTGAATCGAAAACACATACCAGAGAGTCTAATTCATCCCTCACCAACACTAATTCATGGTTCTTCTAAAACCCAGAGTCTCCATCTAACCGTGTTATCCATCTTCTTCAGAACAACAGGCAAAGCTTTATCTAATAAATGCATTCCTTCCAACGGTTGTTACAACCTTTTTTCGAGTTCTGAAAAAATGGTTTCCTAAAGATAAATTGCGTTTCTAAGCAACTGCAATATACATTACAGCAGTAGGTTTTACTTATATGGGTTTCACTCTAACCTGGTTTTTTTTTTTATCACTATTCTACAGTGTTCAACTGGACTGGAACTCACGATGTGGCCGAGGTATCCCAGGCCTACTTCGGCAACTGTACAACCTCTAACACCATTGGTGCAGTCCAAACAACAAGTCCAGTAAACATCACTCTTACTACCAACGTTACTCGCTACTTCATCTGCACCGTCAGTAACCACTGCTATCTGGGCCAAAGGGTTGCCATCGGGTTCGGAACTTCGAGTGCATCTCGGGCCATCGGTGCTTTGTCCGTGCCTGTGCTCCTCTTGGCCATTGCCATCTCTTTCTTAAGTCATCTATAATTTTCCCTCCATATCTATAGAAGATTTCTCGTGTCTTTTGTTATGTTTTTCTATTGGTACTGAGCTGATAAGCATAAACTATGTATTTTATTTGAGTGCATTATACTATTCAGATTGATTGCAGATAAGACTCTTTAAGTGTTATGGTAGTAACCAAACCAGCAAGGTTTGTGACGATCAGAGTCAAATCGGCAATGACATTTTGTCAATAAAATAATTAAGCACGACAAACAAGTAATCTATTTCATTAGGATTTTTCTACTTCAATAATCAATCCGTGTGGACCATCCTGCAAATTAAAATACCAGATAGAGGCATTACATCTAAGGAGATAAGCTGTTTCATTATTATCAATTCACTATATTGATAGTCTTTGAATTTGATTTTCAACAAATTTCACAAGTTTTGACAGAAAGATGAAGAGACAAAAGTCTCCTAGAAGCTAATACAATAAATTTCAAATCGCAGAAACTGTGTAAGACACGGGATGGATAGAATTTCGGATATACAAGTCAACAAACCTAACCAGAATTCTTGAGTTCTGAGTAGAAACTCCTCAATATCAAATCTTTCAAATACTTTTTGCTAGCCTACCAAGAAAAATAGGAGGAAAAAGGTCCCTAACTAAACAGGGTTTGCAAATGTAAGCAGAAAACCATAACTTGGTTTATAATGGCAATGGCTCAACATTGGAACTGGTTTTATCTGTCCAAAAATTCAAATTCTTATATATTATATATATAACTATGTAAGCAAGAATTTTTGGAGTTAAAATCAGATTCCGTGATTATGCAAATGTTATACACGAGTGCACAGATATGCTCCTACAAGATTCATAGCATATCTTTAGTTCTTTACGCATCCTTCAATACACGGTGACCGAGTCAAAAGTCTGACTCCCAAGGCAGGATTGAGAACATGACTATCAATTCTACCACTACCCCCTCTATTCATATTTTTAAACCTTGTGTATAGCATATCTTTAGTTCGTTACGCATCCTTCAATACACGGTCACTGAGTCAAAAGTCTGGCTCCCAAGGCAGGATTGATACCATGACAATCAATCTTGGCACTACCCCCCTCTATTCTTTTTCTTCTCCACCCCGCCACCACCACTTCCTCCAATATTCCTTCACCCTTGAACCACCACCCCGTCCACCCTGGCCAAGCCACCAAGAACTCCTCCTCTAACTTTTTCTATGCCCTACACCAAACAATTTCCTATTGAGCTTTAGCTAAGAGAAACCGTAGAGTAGGAATTCTGCACCAAAATTTAGATCCACCAATGAGTCATGGTCATGATAATCAAATAATGCTACACAGTGGGCCACATTGGTGAATTTGTGAAATGTTTGTGCGTACAGTAATGAGAGAAGTTAAAAAGATACAAAGTTAGCAAGCAAGAGAAGAATTAAGCTGACATAGCAGAGGAAGAGAAGCAAGTGACTGGAATTAGTAAGCAAATCTAGAGGGTGTAACAGTTGATACAGGTGGAAAATGAAGCGGGGCATAACTTTTAGAACCTGGAAGTCTTAAATTGGTGAAGATTACACTAGAACTTGGTTTCCAGCAAAATGAATATATAGATATAAGAAATCCAGATACACATTCCTTCACTGTTGCCAGATGAACAAAGAGGTCTAGATTGAAACCTGGGATAGCAAGGTAGAAATAAATTTGAGATGGTGATAGAGAAGGTGGTTGATCCATCTACTGGTGATAGTCGACTGTGACCAAGGTGAGACCGTTACGGTGGTACTGGTGATCCACTCCCTTTTGGTGCGGCAACTAGAGTTGCCTATACCTAAACATTCTGCGTTTCCTATATAAAGTCTCATTCGCAGCTAATGGAGGTGTGCAAAGGTAGGCTCAAGCTAAGATTTTGCTCGTGAGCCCTTCTATCAAAATAATTAAAACGGAAGGCGAGCTCTTCATATGAATTTCTTTTTCCTCTTGAATGCTTCAATCCACTATCTCTTGAAGCCTTTGTAGTTGCTCCTGGACTTTGGCTAGGTTCACCAAGTGAAGATGGTGATCAAATTTGAGTGATGTATGACCTTAGATTGATACAAATAACAAAATAGGATTCCTGTAGCTAGCCTTAAATAGTATAAAAAGTTTGTTGAGTTGACTTCATATTTAATATTACATATTCAATAAAAATGACCTAAATGTAACTGATATTTATATTAAATGTAAATTAAGGGTAATTATGTCCTCTGTAAAATCTAGTAATTTCATGAGGTTAAATAAGGTTGTTGAAGCCTTTTTTACCAAAAAAAATGGAGGGAAAAAAAAAAAAATTCATTAACAGTCTTGTTAGCCAGGGAATCTAAAAAGTCAACAAAACAATAGGGGGAGGGGGGTTGGTAGCAAAAAGTCTCAAGTCCTATCCATGTGTAATGCCTGAAACCTCATGGGAGGTTGGTGTAATTTACTTTAAATAATATTTTTATTCTACCATCCTCATAGTTATTAAGGACTGAATACACAATAAAATGCTGAGAGCTCCGATAGCCAAAGCACACATGAATGAAGTGAAGCATAAATGTGAGCAAATTAAGGTGCATGTGATTGAAATGAATACTAAATATATGTGATAATAGAAAAAATTTAAAAAATGCAACACAGACTATTCATACTCAAAATGAGTAAATTTTTCAACATATCATTTAGTCAATAGTACAAATATCCTTTCAATTTGCATATGCATATAGTTAAATCAATGTAAAATTGAAATAATTTAAAATATGCAACAAAAATTAATAATGCTTTCTTGACATATCAACTAAGTTGATCAGCTAATTTAATGCATATACATATGCATCAACTAAAACAAGTATTGCAAATATGTAACAAAATAAAAGGCTACAATCAAACACATTTTTAAATTAATCATTAACACATTTAATGAAAATAGTTAATCATAAACTCTAATATTCCAAAACCAATATCCGTTAAGGTTAAACAATATGCTCTAGTGAATGTGACCGTTATATGATGATGTAGAGTAAGTAACTAACGGCTATTTAAAAATAAAAAATAAAATAAAATAAGAAGAAGAAGAAGAAGAAGAAGAAGAAGAAGAAGAAGAAAGAAAGAAAGAAAGAAAAGAACGTGATTGAATGATTAAAATAGTAAAAACTCATTTTTTACTTTTTTAGCCTGAACCCTGCTAAAAAGCATTCACCCAGTGGCTTTATGAATGCTTGACAGAGAGCCTAGCCCTTTGTAAGTTGAGATGCTTCAGCTAAGCCTTGACAAGCCAAGAAATGTCTTTAACAACTATGACCAAGGTTGCTTTCTTTTTGTTATATTTCAACCATGTAATATTAGTCTTTAAAATTTAGAATTTATCACGTTCAAACTATAGATAGAAGATTCACAATTATCTTTTTTAGATAAGCAAGAGTAACACAAAATATATGTTGTACTTTCAGTAAGAATATTCATGGAATTGGAAAATATAATTTAGCAAGAGCGCCATTTTTTATTATTTCTTTTGATTGACCGTAAGGAAGGAGAACCTAATCAAGTTTTTCCCATATTAACCAGGATGGATGTAGTAAAGGAGCATGTCTAAACTGCTTTGTGACTACAATTCACTCATCAGTAGATAGCAGAATAATAGGGGACATACAGAAGCCAAACCATGCTTTTGCTGTGAAAGATTGTGGCAGCCAAGAAATTTTTTTCATGATTGAAGATAATGCCGTAACTGGGACAAGGATGTTGAGATGGATGAGTGGATAAGAAAGTTTTAAATAAAAAAATGTGATGATAGATAGAAGGTACACACAGACAGATAAGGCAAATTCTGTTTAATTTGGTTTGACCATGAGTCACTAGAAGTGAATACTATACAAGTGACACTGATATGGTTCAGGACATGTTCTGTGAGACCATACGTGAAGTTAAGTAAGAAATATGAACTGAGAAATGTGAAGGCTGAGGTAATACCCTATCTCCCCCGAAACATCCTGTCATTTCCTTGAGTAATTTTAATTCTCCTGTTTGGCATATCTTCCACATACGGAATTCAGAGCTATATAATATATTTTAACCACCAAGATGAAAAAAATCAGAGCGATATGAAGTGGATCAAATTTAACGCCAAAAGAAATACATACAATTTCTTGGCCAAGGCTATGATGCCAGTGGAGTTGATTTAATTGTCTCACAATCTGTTCATTTTACTGCTTCCCCTTACAGCACAGATTAGATTTATACCTGCATTAATCAATTCACAATAAAACCTTTTATATGGATTTATATTATTATTTTGACCAGAGAAGATGATCCCAACAAAGTGAATGACCAATTTACATGGAGGCCCCCAACAATTTTGTAAGACATATTCCATTGACTAATCCATATGGAATTCTGAGCAGTTATTGTATATTCAGAATTCTGAGCAGTTATTGTATATTCAGAATTCTGAGCAGTTATTGTATATTCGGAATTCTATCTCCATCATTTTTTCTTCTTCTTTTATCAAGTAACATCGGTGTATTGTTTCATACAATTTGAATCTCTAATGCAAATTAACATTCATTCTCATTTTTCCTCCTTCCACTCAATGTGTCTGGTTCAACTATAAGGACAACCGTAATTCAACCTGTAGTAGTGAACCTTAGAATTCTATGCGCACAACTAAGATAATTCTGACAATATAATCCTTCTAGTGGGTTGGTTTGATGTCTCAATACTGAGGGGATAACGACTTAAAAAACTCATTTATAACATGCTTTTCCCGCACCATTGCGTCTCGCCTTGCTCCAACAGCATGTGAAAATTCACGATCGAAAGTTCACAAAAATAGCTAACCTAATTCTGACAACTTATAATCTTTCTAGAGGGTTTGATGTCTCAATCCTGATGGGATAACAACCGAAAAAACTAATTTATAACATGATTTTCTCGCACCATGGCATCTCGCAACGCTCCAACAGCGTGTGATAACTCAAAATTGAAAGTTCATAAAAATAGATGATGCAAAGAAGGCTCCAAAGACATATAGTGAGGTAACTCAGATTTTCTTCAAAAATATTATATATCATACAACAGGAAAAGATTGGTTACAAACCTGGCCTTTTCATTTGACCCGGTAGCCAGAAAAATTGCCCCTCTTCCACATCATTGTTAAATGGTGCCTTGCGCTTCCTAACAGCTGCCTCCACATCCTGACCTTCACCCTCACAAGTCCACTTACTTGTACAGAACTCAAAGGGATCATTAACATTTTTCATGGGGAAGAAAGGAAACTCCTTATTTCTGAGGGTAGATGGGTCACTAAATTTGTTCCCCTCTTGAGAACTGCTTAAACCAACATCATCACTGTCACGAGTTGAACATTTTCCTACGCTTGTGCATTGGTCTGAAAACAGACCCAGTCGCAATGATAAATCGCATTCCATATCAGGCGCCTTCTCATGGTTGTCCCTGAAATCTGCTTGAGTTGTTCTGTTTGAAGCATTTTCATTCCCATCACGGAAGAACAAATTCTGTGAGTAAGCCACTTCACTAGGCTCGACTGTTGATGAAAAAAGTGGAGTACCAACAATTATTTTGTTGGAATTTTGTCGAGTTTGGAAGCCCAACTGAGACATGTCAGGTTGAAAGTTGGTACCATAGTGCAAGGGATAAACTGAACCCACATTCAATGAGGTGCCACTTTGCATTTGGATGAACTGGTTATTGCCACGAGGAGGAAATTTCTGATGTGAAAGAGGAGAATTGCAGGAAGAAGTGAGATTGTTGTTTTGCATTACATGCCTGTTAGATTGTGAAGCTAAATTGGTTAAATTCATAGTTGGTCTTGCTAAGGTTAACTGACTAACTGGTGATAAATTGGGGGTTTGTTCATTGGTAGTGCTAACCAAAATTTTGGGGCGGACAAAACCAGATTCCGGAGATCTTGGGCTGAGATAACTTCTTGGATTACTGTGCCGTTGGCTCCGTGATGCTCTTACTGGAACACAGCCGAGGTTCAGGGCAGCTGGACATCATAGAGAGTAGGCAGGGGAGACTTAACAGATTAGAAATTAATTTATCGAGTTTGAACAACCTCTCATTGCAAAATAACTTCCAAACCAAGGACAATTCAGAATTGAAATTAAATGTCATTGACCTTGAGCTAATATACGAAATGAGAATAACCCAGCAGCATTATTTAAGAGTTCGACCGAAGAATGAGCAGTAGAACAATCAATGTGTAATGGGTACCTTCGACACAGGGCGGCAAAAGCTCTCCGGTTTCAGTACTTTCATCTCTTCGAATTATCGTGTTAATGGCGTCATTAACCCGATCCCATAGTGTTTCAGGATCCATATACTCAGCCTAACCAATGCATAATTGTACAAAATGGGTATATTCAGAATCAAACATAAAAGCAAAATTCCACGAAATCTAAGCCGACCCACAGAAAAATTCATTGAAATGAAGAAGGGAAACCTCAGAATTGGCTTTGGAGTACATGATTTCCTCAGCTTTCAAAACAACTATAGGTAGCTTCTCTTGCCATTCTTTGTTCTTTCTAGTTGCTGAACTGTGAGCCTCATTTACAACCCTAATCAAACACGTGGTAGGCATTGAGAAAACGAGCACAAAACACATTACATCAACAAAATACTCAAAAAGAAAAAAGGGAAATACCCAGAACCTGAAAATTTGTTGAATGATTGAACCTCTCATGGGTTGATGCCTATCACTGTGCCAAGCTCTCTTCACACATTCGTAAGGTCTTGGGCCTGGCCGAGGCATCTTTCGACAATACCAGGGTCTGAGCAGAGTGTATATATATATATATGATCCACCGTATTTATATATATATAGATATAGAGAGAGAGAGAGAGAGAGAGAGAGAGGGAGGGGAGGAGAGAAGAGAAGAAAAGAAAGTTGCTTTACAGAGAAAGCAATTCAGTATATCAGTATGGGTTTGAAGTATGGTGTTGCTCTTTTTTTCACCACTCAGTCCCCAGTTGCAATTGTACTTTTTAGAGAGAGAGAGAGATGCTTCTTTGCATTATGTTGGTGTTTGATTTTCTTTTAATAATTTAGTGGGTTTCGTTTTGATGGGGTGTGATGTGGCCCTTCGCAAATGCAAAAACCCTACCCTCACAAAACTGTCTGCCCTGTACAAGACTCTTTCGCTTCATATGGGAGCCAAATGGGCCTAACGCTGACCAAAATTGTGGGATTTGCCCACCAATTTTACTGTTACGTTGTGGGGGTGTCGGTGTGGGGTTCCACCAGGGGATGTGGGATGGCGCGTGACTTGGTATCGGTGTGGGCCACAAGGGGATGTGGGATGGCGCTTGACATAGCATGAATTAAGAATTAAATCTGAAAGAAGTGTTCTTCAATTAAATAGTGTTATATATTCATTTATTTATATTCATGTCATTTTCTATTCGAATTCTACTATTATAGGTATTATTTTTTTTGCTTTCAAAAAAGAATTAAGAAATATTCATGCTAACCATTCGAGCCGACGAAATTAGTAATTTTATCCAATATGAAATAAAACACCTATCTTTTATGAAAAATCAAAAAAAAAAAAAAAAAAAAAAAAAAAAAAAAAAAAAAAAAATACACAAACAAACAGTCTCTCTTCTGGGCATAGCATAGTATATGAGCCAAGTCATTTGTCTGTTCCACTTTTAATAAGGTTAAATTATGACTCCTGCAAGAAACTTTTTTAAAAATTAGTCCAACACTTTTGTCAGAGTTAAAATTGTTAGCAGCGTGATTTCTTTGTTAGCACTATGATTTCTTTGTTAGCAGCATGATCACCTGTTCAAATTCTTCTCGCTTATAACTTAATTTTATCGTTCGCTCCATGTTACTTAGATTAATCCTAAATAAAATTGTTTTATAGCACCTATAAAATAAGAAAAAGATAAATGGTAACCAAATCTAAAACTTAATTACATAGTAGTTACATTCATTACCATTTACATTTGTCATCTGATGGTGAACTGGTGACAGAACTAGCTAGAATGATTTTGTAAAAGGCAAATAATTTTTCAACACTTTTTATATTAGGGTAATTTAAAAAAATTACCGTGAGAGAACCTACCGTACAATAAAAACTCGGACAATAAAACGGTGAAGGTGATTGTCCAAAACCAATTTAATGATCTATAGTTTAGGCCACCATTTTCATTTGGTCAATCATATTGGAAAATCAAGGGCATGTTTTTTCAGCTTTTTGTTCTTTGAGAACTACCAAAAAAAAACAAAAACAAAAAAGAAAAAGAAAAAGGGATTAGGTCCCGATTCAGCTATCATAAAATCGTTTTCAAGTATTCTGAAAATAAAAAATATTTTCAAAAAATTACAAAAGATAGTGGAATGAAATTAAACATTTTGTTTGTTTGTTTTTTTATTTTTTTAAAACTTAGTATAATAATTTTATTTTGAGAAAATTGTTTGCGAAACAAGTTTAGTACTTATTATTATTATTATTTTTATTTTTATTTTTTGTGATAAAAATGATACCCGTATCAAAACATTATGTACAAAAGAACTCAATTATGAATATATGATTTGGGGAAATTCAACATCCATCCATTCAAATTTTTACCACGTACAATAATAATACAACAAAATATACATTAGCCTTAGGCATCCAGAAACAAAATTTACGTTAGCCTAAAAAATCTAGCTTTCTAAGCGGGTATTCTCTTGTTCGAGTTCCTCCATTCATTTATCATGAAAAATGAAAAACAAATTTAGAGTGAAGAGGAGTCCATCTCATCAGCATCATCACCAACCATCCGATCAAGAACAAGCACCAGTCCCATCACAAAAGCACTATCGATCATGGGCATTAGACACAGCAGGAAAACATCCTTCCCAAGCAGCACATTCGTAGTGGGGTCCACTTTTCGTTTGATTTCAGCCACAACTTCCTTGGACGAGTTGGAGCTATCCGAACAAGTGCTGTAGACTGTACACGATCGCTGCCCAAAGGAGCCATCGATCTGGTACTCTTCACCTGCATCATCATAAACCTGTACCACCACGCCTGACCCTCTGATTATGGATGATCTGTACACACTAAACCTGGGCTCTTGTCCGTCCATTCTCTCTCCCAGGAATCCTTCCCACCGTTGATGGAGACTCGCCTTCTAGTTTCCAAACATACCCTTCATTAATTCCACTATCTACGTGTCCTCACTCTATCAGCTCAATAGTGCAGTGCCATTCAAAAATAATTAAGATAAATTACTATTATATAATACTCACCTAATTTCTCCTGCTGAATCTAATCATTCTAGTCACATATTTTTGTTTGAGATAAAATATACATTTACCTATTTTTGTTGACCTAATTATATGTACACCCATCCAAATAACAAGTGACCAATTTCTTATTTTTGTTGGACAAGTTTTGAAACTTTTAATTATTTACTTCAAAAAATATTATAGCCTTTGATATTTGTTGACATCCTATCACTTCTGTTACCAATGAGTGTTGCTATTAAAAAAGCCCTTCACAACATGAGCCACGATGTTACGGACCACGAGCTTGGAAATCAGTAAATTCGTGACAATGAGCTCTTCGTATTTAAACATTAGATTTAGCCAGTTATTTTAAGATACTTTTGAAAAAAATTAAATAAAACATTTAATATATATTTCATTGCACTGGTCATGAAGAGACTCTTAATTGCATTACTCTGACTGAAAAGTAGTCTAAATACAAACTTAAGGCAAATGCCTGTATTATTTGAACAATAAGTTTTGTGAACTTATATATTACATCATAAGAAACGTGTGTCATTAATTCGTAAGAGTAATGCTTTTATTCTTATAACTAATAAGCTATAGGCATAAACAATGTATGCTTAAAAAATGAAAATACACCATATCATTAAGAGTAACTTTTATAAATGGATGACACTATTTTTATTGCATGATGCAAATTTTTATTTGTATTCTTTTTAAAATTATTTTTTTTGATGCATTTTCATTCAATGGACACATCTATGACACGTATGTCTCTTTTAACCTTATAGAGTAAAAGGAATTTTTTTATCTATAAATATATGAAAAAAAATTGTTTGCAAATCAATAGCATTGTATTTAAGGGTTTCTCCACCCCACCCAAATTATGAAGAAATGAAAAATAAAAAGATCATTGGTTGTAAATAGACCAAAGAATCCTTAGGGTATGTTTGGTATATTAAAAAACAAAAAAAAAAAAAAAAAAAAAATGATGACATTAGTTATGTTTGGTTGATTAATAAAAAATAAAAAAAATAAAATGTTAATAATCATATTTAAAAAATAAATAAAAAAAAATTTAATATAATAAATTTACGACCATACATTTTTAACTTTCCATTCATTTTTAAAATGATAACAAAAGTTTCTATTTATACTTTAGTCTTTCCTTCCAAAACCCTATGTTCACTCCCTTTCCATCCAACATTTTATACCAAACGTAACTTTTTATTTTCTTTCATTTCTTTTCCCCCATTTCCATTATATATGAATATATGATGCGAAATATAGACAAACACATTTACGTTACATGTGGAGTCATGGATAATCCAAGGTCATTTGGATCAATAAAGAAAAGAAATTTTAGGTTCACAAATATCAAAATTTCTATACTATGGTAACGTTCTGCAAAAGGCGAGGGTATGTGCATGTTTTTAGAATAATACAAGGGAGATTTGTGAAAAAATAAAAATTCAAGGGGATTTTTTAGTAAACCGTGAAAGTTGAGAGGAGGTTTTTACAGTTTTACCTACCCTTAAATTGGATTGAGGATGGATGTGCAAAACCAAAACCCAGAGGGTGGGAACTCAGAAACGGGAGAGTGAAGAGTGAAGATGATTCATTAATGGGGGAATACGGAAAGATAGTGAGATGATACTGACCTTACGGCAAAGGGTGAGGAGGCACTTGCCAGATGAGTCCATGAGAAACAGCTCATCTCGGGAATTGGAATCGGGACCATACGAGTCGACTCGCAAGATGAGCTCCCCTTGGGAATCGTAAACAGTAAAGCCGTCGCCGGGAAAGAAGAGGGAGGTCTTGTGGACTGTGAGGCGAGTCTCTTCCTGGAACCAAAATCTCTCGTCTACAATCACACCTCTTCCCATCTTCACTACTGCTTGCTTTCACTCAATTGCTTTACAATCTCTCTTTTTCTCTATACAAACTGATTTTCTCGTCGCTTTCAAGATGACAAATCCAACAGTAATACATACCTATCTTGTTTTCAAACCATGATTTACTCAAATAAATAAATAAATAAATAATAATAATAATAAATAAATAAATAGAAAAGCAGAGGGCAATTCTTTGTGGTCACACGTCATATTCCAACTCCCAAGTAGAGAGGGGGGTGTCACAACTGTCAGAATAAGTTTATCACAACCATACCTATTAATTGAGGTGGCCCTTCCATTATGAATCCCAAAAGAGGAACGGTGAGAATCATTCCACTACAATGGCCGACAGGATTTGTTCCGTCCAATTTATCTTACAAAAAAAGAGTTAATATTTTTTGTAGAATTCAAATTGAATCGGATGAAATATTGGGATATTTTATATAGCACATGCCTGGATGAAACATAATGTACTGTTCTCATGAGAATTTTCTTCTCTACAATAAGGCAGTTGTCCGGTTCCATCGAAAACACCTTACAAAAATCTTGTGATTTTTAACTTATTTCACAACTTTTTTTTATCTTGCATCAATAACTTGATGGACTGGATTTGATTTTGTTCCCCATATGGCCCCACATAAGGAATAGATGAGAACATATTAAATACCTAGAAATATGATACCCAGAGACAATGAAATAATTATGAATATGGTGGTGAGTCCCACCACATCTTATTTAATATTTTCTCATTGGGTATCTACAAACATGACATGGGTCCCGGTTTATATGCACCTTAACTTTTATGACACATGCTCATATAATCCATCACTCAACATTTCAGGCTCTGAATCACACTGTACCTATTGAATCTACTATATTCCACGTGTCTAGAGATCTCGCGCTAAAGCTAACCTCTCCAACTTCAGTAAATTTGTCTTCACCTTTCGTCCACAAAATTCTTCCCTTCCAATAATTACTATCACCATTTTAACTAGGGTTCTCTATCAGAAGATGGCTATAGATTACAGCCTCAATATTTGCTGTGCATTCATCACAAGTTTCTCAAGAAATAAAACACACACACACACACACACACACAGATATAAGGGGTTTGAACCAACATCACCTTAAGCACTGGCTGAACATCCATTGCACTTTACAGCAACCAATCAACGAATTGGATAAGAAGGCAGCAGCATAAGGGATCATTGCATATTCCATTGAAAAGTAAAAAAGTAGAAGTGTTTAAATTAGTAAAAATAACTTATGAGCGTGACTGGATGGCAGCTGTTGAAGAGAGAGGACAGCCAGTTCAACAAACAAGAAAGAAAGGACAAAAAAAAAAAGAAGAGGGATGTGATAGTGAATGAGTTACACAATTGGAGAACAATAATTCATGCGTTGAGAAAACCGTGAAATAACAACAGCGTCCACCTTAGATGTATCTTCAAATTCTCAAATGTGGGACAAACTTTACCTCTCCATGACTGGGACATTAGCTTTCCAGAGGTACATTGGCACTCAGGAAAAAAAGAAAGAAAGAAATGCCGCACCACTTCTTAAATTCATGTATCATTTTCATCATATATATATATATATATATATATATATATATATAGAAGACTGACCCCAGATAGAGAGAGAGAGAATATACCTCACAATCAAATCAAAACAATGTTACACATTAGGAGTAGAACAAAGAACTCCAAGGGACCCTATATTGCTATGCTAACAGAACCTCACAACCAAATACAAACAAGAAATTAATTCCTTTACACTATTAGGATATTTGTCTTGTACTAAAAATTCTATGAATGTTGATCTTTTCCAGATATATTATAGATTCTAAAAGGGATAACAATTAAATGGTTTCAAGTCGCACATGATCGGTGTCTTATGTGAAGGCAAGACTGTGACCTAACTGCTATTCCTCCATCTCTGAGGGAAAACTGAAGAAAAGGAAAAGATTTAAATCATCTGGAGGAAATTCTGACCTTATGCTGCATGTTGGAAAATGCCAGTTCAGGAATTTGGTCGGTTGTGGGAGTTGACACAAACTATGATATTTCCTACTTGTCATCAACTGAAATTTCATTTAAGAAATAACTTATCCAACAAAAATAAATGGGAACTTGGAAATCATTGCGGTAACTGTACTTTGGATGGCAAAACCAAACATATAGATAAATTTTATGCAGGCAACAGTGCAAAATTTGAGTGAATGCCAATACTGTATTTGAAACCAATGAATTATTGGTTTTTTCTACTGAAAGTACAATAAAGAAAAAGGAAAGGGCATACCGCAAGCACAATGTATATTGAGTTGACTTCTCTTCAGTTCTTTACGACAAATGTAGAGACCTGCTTTTCTGGATCAAACACTTGTAAAGAATCTTCTTCCCAATACACACACACAAACACACACAGAATATGTTTCTTTCTAGAAGTTTGGTATAGTAGTGAGGCTTTCTGTACAAAACAAATAGAAGCTCAAATGATTCTCGACATCCAGTAAGAACATTCAATGAGACAACACATCCCTTCAAGTGTCATGATGACCTACTTCAATTGCGTCATGGCCTTCATATATGAACTATCAATTAACACCAAAACTTGATAAGACAAAGCATACACTGAAAATATGATGGGGAAAACTGACAAGACAATAAATATTTAGTTATGTTCTTAACTTTTTATGCATTGTTTGGCTGACTAGAAACTATATGAAAATTGAAGTTTGGAAATGTTACAACTACTTGGGTTGGAATGGTTGTGAAAAGATTCCAAAATCTTCATACCTCTCACTACATCTTAGTTAAACGAAACATAATGCAGGAGTAGAGGTTGTGTCTGAAAGGGTGAAAGAAAATACTGGAAGACGATAAAAATCCAATTATGTTCTCCTCAATTGTTGTGTTGTTTGACTTGTCAAAAAAAAAAATTTGTTGTGTTGTTTGGCTGCCTAGAAGCAACATGAAAAATGACGTTTGTAATTTTGCAATTAGTTGGGGTTGGAATGGTTGTGAAAAGGCTCCAGATTTTCATAACTGTCACTAAATCTTGGTCAAACCAAATATAAAGCAGGAATAAAGGTTATGTTAACATACCTTCTAGATTCTACAACTCAATGAAAGAATCTCCTACGACACCGAGTAGATCCAAGCTCCTCATACTCAGCCTTGGTGACACACATTGCTTCAAAATCAGGACTAGATGCCAAAAGTGACCCCCCTCGCCATACACCCAATATAGGACTGGACAAAAAGCACAATTTTTTACTAACAAAGCAGCAGTAAAATAACAGATAGCTTTTGTAGGAGAGAATATTTTACTCTTCTTGAGACGTTATCTTCACTTGATAATTATCAGGCACAAGAGGTCGGAGCTCTCTTTCTCTGCATTTAGACAGAATCAATTTAAAACTGGAATCCAAATATTTCTTAAAATCAGCTTTAACAAATTTCAGTGTAATTGGCCAAAGCTTACAGTCTTTCAGCAAACCGAGGAAATAATGTGCTTCCACCAGTCAATATAATGCTGCCCAAAGATAATTGGAACAAGCAGTAATTAGTTCCAGGAAATTAGAGAAAAACACCCACATATGCACATGATATCTTTTTGCACTTGACATATCAAGACCTTCCACTACTACCTTTCATACAGTACAGGGTGAAGATGGGGATGGCATGAACTGACAGCTCGAACTATGCACTCTGCTAGTCCAGCCTGGTTCATACCTGCAATATCAGAGATCCACATAAATAGATTTTCACATGCACAAGGAGTAGGCATATATCAAGTGATTTTAATTTTTCCTTTTCTGGTCAAGCTTTATACCACTTAGCACTAAGTTATGGTTAAAACATTTTCATCCATATATATTCCTTCTCCTACCCGATGTCATCACGTTAACATGGGTCGAGATAGTGAGAAAGGATGTGATAGCCTGTACTTTAACAGAAGTAATATCCTTGGAGAAGAACAGCAAACAGGACTACCTGATCCCAACCAGTTCAGACAAGGTTTTGTTGAGTTGAGTTGTATTTTTTCTCTCATATCATTCCATCACAATATATTTAAAATAGCCAAAATAACACATTTATTGCAGCACCTGCTAAGATGACACTACAAGAGAAATAGCTACTGTCTAATAATACTTCCTCCAACCCACAAAGTTGTCCCATTAGAACAGGCACATTCTTTCAGGTGGTGCAATTAATGTATCCAAACTTAACTTTTTACAATCATTTTTCCAATATTATTACACATTAATTTGACCTTAAAAGTATTCGTTATTTGACCTAATTAGCAACTGGCTTGTAATACATACTCCAAGCAACAAAAACTTTCCTATTAAAAGAAAAACATTCTCAAAGATGTAATTAGTACACTCACACTTTGACCTTTTTACAACCAGTTTTCCAGTATTAGCATTCATTGGTTGGACAAATGAGCACAACCACAATTTACATACTCATTGAAGTTTAATCCATGACCAGGGCATTGTGGTAAAGGAGAAAATTCCGCATCTTATCTCTTTTCCTTTCCTTTTCTTTCTTTTTAATTTATCTTTATAACAGACAAACACTATGGGATAGCCAAAAAGAAAAATAGAAAGAAAAAAAAATGAAAAAGGAAAGGAAGAAAAGATGAAGTGATGACAATCTTTGCAGGCTTGAGGGATTGCCGCTGAAATGAAAATAACTAAAATATGTCTTATTCATTTCATAGTTTTGTCGAATTGATCAAACAAAATCTTTGCTTCCCAGATTGAAATAAGAATTAGATAGCCCAGTGGAAAAAAATAAAAAAAATAATAATAATAATAAGAAGAATTAGATAGCCCAGGGGGAAAAAAAAGAAAAAGAAATAAGAATTAGATAATGTACTCCACAATAAGAACATGACACAAACCTAAATCAGCCGGACGGAAGATCATCTCTGGCACAATGAAGCGCTCATTTGTCAAGCTAAACTCCTGTAAAAAAGGTTAAATGATTTTAAAATGGTATACTAGACAAGGCAAGGACCACGAAAACAGAACAGTACATTTTTAGTTAAATCAATTCTCCTCCTGTCCTCAGGCTTTTCTATAACTTCCAGCTGATCCAAATCCTCTTTTGTTCTTGCTCCATCTGCCAAGGTGAGGTATCTCTGTGCTTCATCCGGGTCTCTCACAAAACCCTTCATGTGTGTGACACCATCAGGAAGCACATAAGTGCACCTGAATAAATTGTCCTTTCCAGGTTTCCTGTGAGAATTATTCTAAAATTTGTTAACATAGAAGAACCAATTTTGTTCATAATAAAATTATATGCATCGACAAACTAGAAAGTTGATAAAAGTACAAAAATTGAAATATGAAGTAAAGGGAATTAAGATTGCTGTAAGATGATAGTATAACCATATGAGTAAGAAACGACATATGCACATCCTGGAAAAGCTGTCCTAATTGGATCTCCTGTACATGAGACTATACAGGTTCCTGACTCTCATTCAATTAGTCCAACAACTTGGTATCCTCAGTGTATGTAACTACTATTGAATCCAAACTGTTGGCTTGACGATGATATTGAAAGAGTCACGACACCAAGCCAACAGTTCCAATTGTTGTCAGGACTTGATAATCAGCAGTCTGTGATTAAATATAAATTATTAATAAATGTATGCATTTTGTAACGCATATAATAAGTGTAACTTGATCGATTCAAACAGCAAGGCATCAGTTCTTAGGGGTTTTTGACCAGTGTTACTGATACCACACGGATATTTGTACTACGCTGTCAAGTTTCTTTACGGTGCTTTAGTATGAAGGATCGTTGTTTCCCCATCTTCCTCTTACATAGACAATATAAAGTTATAAACCCTCCCTTGTATTTGTCAATTGGGGAATATGTTTTGATCTTTAATTCATCAACATACTAAAAAACTGTGTAGCTAGTAGGAAATCAATTCCCAGTCAAGAACTGGTTTTCCCCACCTTAAGATTTAATTTATTCAGAAAACACGTCCAAGGTGGAGCTACTCTTTTTTCTTTACAACCCTATTTGATAATGCTATTCCAGATTACTATTAACATTTATGGCTTTGTTTAACTTTCATGTAACCCAAGTATCAAAAAGCATATAAGAAATTGTTAATTATGTAATAAATTTTAGTCATAGTTAGTTAATTAATATTCAATACATAATACTACCTCTGTCCCATTTTAAATGTCCTCTTTGGGAACATTTCAAATGGGACAGAGGGAGTAACAAATAGCCTTGCCTCTATTGGATCTAAAAGAGTAACCCTTCAAGTTTTCCACTAAAAGAATCTACAGCAGAAACCATTCATCAGATTGAAGAGAATATTCAAAAAACAAAACAAACAACAGAGATTCTTAAATCCTACATTTTTATTTTTATTTTTATTTTTTGGTTTCAAAAGGTGGAAACTCCCCTAAATGAGCTAACTACTAAAGGAACAGTAAATAGGAGTTTTTTTGCTCTCTCAAATCTCTAGTGAAAAACCTAAGACTCAATATTATGATTTGATTTTCCTTTTCTAATTTCTTGACAACCAAACAGCACTTAAGGTGAATCAAATCTCTTCATTTTCCAAATTCAGACATCTTATTGAAACCATATTAATCTCAAAGAGTCTATAAAATTCTATGGAAATAAGATCATTTCAACTATATATATATATATATATATATATATATATATATATTACAAGACAATAAAGAAGGCAAAGCACATTTCAATACTTCGTAAAAAGTTCCCTAATGAAATACTTCGCACATTTCAAGGCTTTAGAAAGAAAAAAAAAAATAAGTTCCCTCAAAGCAAGAACATTTCAATACTTCGCAAATGTTCAATCTAAAATATGACATTGTAGTTAATTTTATAACTTCAAGATGTCTATCGAATACAAATTTGCAAAAAACCCTAACCATTCCATGAGACAATAACACATACAAAGCACCAAAACAATGCAGTCTAACCATAAAAACAAACAATTCAGATCAAAGGCAAAGTACAATTCAATACGATCACCTTGCAATCTGCAGATCACGATCGACATCGAGCGAAACGAAGCACAACTTCTCCTTCACATCATCGATAAGAAAAGTCTCATCCATCACATTAACAGACCTGTAACTCACCAATTCCTTCAAGTAATTCGTCAGTGCCTTTCCCCCCAAATCGAGCCTCTTGACGGCGTAATTAATCGTGAAGTTCTGAAACACTGGCGCGGCGTGCGTGAACGAGAACCCGCAGTCGACTATGAGACTGCACTGAGCCTTGGATACGACGCCGTAGGGCCTCCGACTGGCCTCGTAGAGGTGTACGAGTGAGGGAGAGTCGGCGACGAAGAGGGACTTGAAGTTGAAGTCCTCGAAGACAAGCTCGTCTATGGAGCGTTGGATGGAGGGGAGGTTGAAGAGGGGTTCGACGAGGAGGAGGGAGGAGAGAGAGGGGTTGAGGCGGAGGGTGGAGGAGAAGAGGTGGGCCCATATGTCGCGTTGGAGATCGGGGTTGATGAGGTAGCCGCGGTCGTAGGGGCGGCGGACCGCGGCGGAGGTGAGGTCTTCGGTGGCGGAGTTGAGTTGGTCGGTCATCAGCCATTTCTTGGAAGAGAGAGGACGGCAGAGGCAGTTGGGAACCACGGCGGCGGGGTCTCGCTCGCCGCCGATACCAGCCTTTATTACGCCGGCGCCGTTGTCGAGAACTACCACATTTGACATATGTTTTCTCTCTACTGTCTACTTTCCCGCCTTAGTTGTGAGAATTGGAGCGACCATATCCCTTCGGAACTCTCCTAGGGTCAGTTTGGAGCAATGGGAGGAAAGGAAAGGCAAGGTGATGAAACGTGATTAAAAATTTTTGTTTGGCAAAAATTATTGGAAGGAAAGGAAAAGAAAGATTTCGGAAGGATATCACAAGTTTTGAACAGTAATTTTCTTATCTTCCTAAAATGGGAAGAAATGAAAGGAAAGAGAAGATTAGGGTTGATGAATTGTTTCTGATACCAAATTTACCCTTACACAAAATCAAGACTTGATTTTGGGATTTAGTTTGCAAAAACAAGAATTACATACCTTGATTAGTTGATTTAGAAAAAAAAAATTAAAACAAAATCCATACATACAAATTAGCAGTTGTAGAGAGAGGGGGGGCAAGCTTGAGAGTTGAGAGGCAGCGGCTGAGGCGAACCCGAACTGGAACAATGGGTGGCGAAAACTGAAAAATGATACGCCGATATGAGTTTTGATATGGATAATAGGATTTGAACTTTTGATTCTTGCAAACAAATAGATAAGCTGAAATATATGGGTTTTGAACTTCTGATTCTTGTAGATTTTGTAGTTTGCAATTGTAGAGAGAGAGAGAAAGAGAGGGAGTTTAGAGTTGAGAACGAGAATAGAGATGGAGGCGATTGGGGAGGCTGAAATTATTTGCCCTAAAATTAGTATATATTTTTCTTGGTGGCCCATAATACATGGGCCTAGGCCTATAAGTTTATCTTTTAAAATATAAAAGGGTATAATAATAAATATACTAAAATATTTTCTTTTCGTTTCTTTTCCCAAATATGATCATTATCATTTCTTTTCTTTTTCTTCATTAATCAACCAAACACGATATGAGTTAAAATTATCATTCCCTTCCATTCCCCTCCCTTCCCTTCCCTTCCCTTCCCTTTCCTTTCTCTCATAACTAATGTTATCATTTCTTTTCGTTCCCACTGTACCAAACACAGCCTTATATCTCTCATATTTATTTATTTAGTACTTTTTTTTTTTTTTTTTTTTATCTCTCTCCTTTTTATTTATTTATTTTTTACTACTTTACAAATTACACTTGTCTCTTCTAACAAAAATTTTGTTACAAGATTTACTGTAATTAACTTGGTTGGATATTTATAATAAACACATTATCACGCAAGGTTAACCATAAATTAAAGTTATGACATCAAAAATATCACAAAAATTTGACGTGGATTAATATATTTTAAATTAAGTAAATAAATAAATAACATTATTTGTTAATGTCTTGTATTTAGAGTTGGCAAATTATGACATGACACAAGTTAAAATAATTTGAGTTTGGCATAAATGAGTTTAAATCATAAAATGATCGATACAATTAACCTGTTTACTTAACCGTATCGGGTTAGGGTTGAGGGTTTAACCCGTGTAACCCATTTATGACTCATTTAACTCAACATGTTATAATTGTGAATATGAATATGATTATGTAATATGTTACATGTTTAAACCCAATTACTATAATTAGTTAAGTCATTTGAACATAAATCTTGTCTATGTCTTATGATTTTTCTTTTTATTTTGAATATTTGGATTAATTATGACAATTTTTTTCTATTACGGAGTATTTAGTATTTGATTAAATATTAAATATATTATTTTGATAAATAGGTCATTAAAGGGTTAATACGTTTAAATTAAATATTAAATGTCCCGTTTTGATAAACAGGTCATTAAACAAGTTAAAATATTTACCTGTTTAATAAACGGAATGGGTTGATGTTAAAGATATGAGTTGGATTTGAGTTTACCTATTTAGTATAATATTCTTACATTGACAAGAATCCACGAAACACAAATTGCTACCCCTATTAATATAATGTAAATCATCTTTCCTTCTTCTTCTTCTTTTTCTTTTTTATTTTTATTTATTTATTTTTATCTGTTAATGCCATGGTATTCATTCCCTTATCTCATCAAAGCTAATTGTGTACTTTATCACAATTTTTTTCCACACGAACAAAAATGTAAAGATAGTGCTTGCTCTATAGCTATGTTTGGTGTGAGTGAATGGAATTAAATGAAGGTGGAATGAAATGTATTTGTTTTCATTCTCTTGTTTGGTATGTCACGTTAAAAGTGGAATGGTCAGTCCTAGGGAATGCCCATTCCATCAAAAAGGTGGAATGGCCATTCCTCTTCTTGAGAGATGGAATGATCATTCCATTCCTACCAAGAATTAATAAAGTAATAAAGTAAATTAAAGAGATAATTCACGCATTCACACACCATATATATATATATATATATATATATATATATATATATATAATATGTATCTATATGCCGTTTGTTCCCTCCCCGATTTACACACATAAGGATGAGACAAAAATAGTGTAATTGAATTTATATGAGCTTTTGTGCTTTGTTATGCAACTTTCTCAGTTATTATCTAGCCCTCTGTTTCTTTTTTCTTGCCCGAAAAAATGATCCGAAAATTATCTCTTTCCCTTTTATTTTTGCTGTTTCTCTCTATCTCGTCTATTTTTCTCTCTCTATTATCTCTTTCCCTTTTATTTTTGCAGATTAATTTTTTTAGTTATTTTTTTTTACTAATAATAAAATGTAATTTAAATAAACAATATAAATTCATTCTATTCCAACTTTCTTACCAAACATAGGAATGAGAATGAGATTCCATTTTTATACATTCCATATTTACAACCAAACAGCAGAATGAGAATCATTATTTCCACTCCATTCCATTCTCATTCCATTCCCACCTCCATTCCGTTCTCATTCCATTCCCACCTCCATTCTCATTCCATTCCAATTCATTTCACCACACCAAACATGCCCTATGTGTTTTGGATCTTATCTTTGTAATACGATTCTTCTATATTCCTTCTGTTACACTTACTCTGTGTTTTAGATCTTATTTTTATTACACAACTATTTTTTAATATCAAAATAAATAATTTAAATACTTTGTAAGATCGCTGAATTCTCATGTGAACAATTCTTCTACCATTTTGTAAAAAGGAGAAAGAAATAATTAAAAAGAATGAAAGCATTTAATGTCAAATTCGAGGAACTTTTATGAACCTTCTCCCGAATTAAAGCGTATTGTCACAAAGTGATTCCTAAGACGCTTGGAGGATGGAAGACACGCATGCTGGTTGGCAAAGAGTAGAGTTTAACTGGGAATGGTTCCAGGGAAGGGGCGTGCAGGAGCACAGGATAATACCTCTTCAGAGTTCAGGCAGGTCGACTCGGTTGAGTGCGAGAAGCTTGTCGCTGGTTGTGGACTTGACTATGAAAAAGGGAGTTGGCCATCCCTGCACAAACTGGTCGGGAGCTGGAGCCGTTCCCCTGATGAGACCAAGGCAGGTCGAAACCAGTCAGCATGTATCCTTGGAGGGCAGGTCGTGGTGGCTGACCAAGGAGCTTGCGCGAGTTGAAGCAATGCCTTGGTGCCGCACGGGCCGTGCCGCTGCACCAAATCTCTAGGCCCGTGACAAATGGTATCAAAGTAGGACTTGGGGTAAAGCACGGTGGGGTGCCCCCTTGTTAGTCCGGGAGGGGTCAGAGAATGAAGACGGTGCAATGCAGTTGCGTCAATGAGGAGGAATCAATGCAGTTGGGGGGAGAGCCTCCATCTCCCTAGGAAGAGGCATCCGTTGAAGTTGCGCACCAGAGGGCCGGAGGGCCGTGCGCACCAAAGTTCATGCTTAGTCCTTGGGTGATGCAAACCATGGTAAAGGGTGAGCATTAAGTCGACAGGAGGCCCTTGCTTGCTCAGGATGCCGCGGAGGCGACATGACGGAGAAGAATCACATCCTTGAGGAGTGGACGTCCCCTTGGTCCGAGGCCTATCATTGGGCGAGTGCAATGCAGGGAGCTGCACAAGGAAGCGATGGTGGGAAGACGAGCATACCGCATGGAGGCAGACTTTGGAAGGGAGTGGATGCAGTAGTGAAGCGCCGCACTGCGACAAGGGCGTCGCAGGATTTGGGTGGGGGAGAGTGTCACGAAGTGATTCCTAAGACGCTTAGAGAATGGAAGACACGCATGCTGGTTGGCAAAGAGCAGAGTTTGATTGGGAATGGTTCTAGGGAAGGGGCGTGCAGGAGCACAGGATGGTACCTCTTCAGAGTTCAAGCAGGTCGACTCGGTTGAGTGCGAGGAGCTTGTCGCTGGTCGTGGAATTGACTATGAAGAAGGGAGTTGGCCATCCCTGCACAAACTGGTCGGGAGCTGGAGCCGTTCCCCTAATGAGACCAAGGCAGGTCGAAACCAGTTAGCATGTATCCTTGGAGGGCAGGTCGTGGTAGCTGACCAGGGCGCTTGTGCGAGCTAAAGCAACGCCTTGGTGCCGCACGGGCCGTGCCACTACGCCAAATCTCTAGGCCCGTGACATTATGTAAAGTTTTAAAAGTTGATTTTAACATTTTTCATCAATTAAACAAGATTCAATGTAGTAAACAATAATTTTGTTTTTGTTTTTGTTTTTTTGGGTAAGAATATGTTGATTTTCTTGTAAATAACCTTTATGGTAACAGTTTGATAAGTTTAAATATATCCTTAAAAGCATGCGTAAAAACATATTAATATCATAGTTAATAATAATTAATTAGAAAATGTTAAGTCAAATATAATTAATTATTGGCATTTGAACAATTCAAATTTAAGTCAATGGAAGAACCAGTCGGGCATTTGAAGTCTTAGTCTATCCAAATACCAGAGGATCAACCTCTATTTGACTATAATTTTATCCAACAAATACGAATACGACTAGGAAATTTTCAAAGGCTTGCATTTCGAAAGGGACACTATTGATAACTGACAAGTTATATGATAGAAAACAATCAGCTAATATTCATACTTCTTGGTCTAATTCCTGCTAATCAATTGTTAGGTGTCAAATAAAATTGGCTCCAAACAGAGCAAAACAAAATGACAAAGGAAAGGAAAAGAAAAGAAAGGAAAACATGAAATCAGAATTATATGAAGAATTCATCAAACAAGAACAAATTATAACAAATACTATAGTATGGCCTCTATAATCTTCTCTCACTCCCTCTTATGCATAATATAGTAAATACACAAATGAAGCAAATGATATAAAACAAAGGGGAGGCAATCAGAAAATTATGATAGTTATGCGCATTGTAGCAAGAAGATCACTCAACCAGAGAAAGCAATTCAGTAATCAGTAGGGTGTGGAGTAGTATCCTCCGGGCTGTCCCATGCCGGTGACTGGTGGCATACCATAAGGCATCATTGGGTGCACACCAGAGCCATAGTAATTGGCATCACCGGCAATCTTGGCAAAACCGACTTGGCCTTGCATTCCATTGCTTCCATACTGCTGCCAAAGCTGCTGTTCTTGTGTAAGCAAATGCTGTTTCTTCTCCATATCCGCGACCTGCACGTATGAAGGAGGCGGCACTGTAAGGGATGCTGCAAAAGGGTCTTGTTGCCCCACAGCTTGGACTGCTCCATCCGGGGCAGGCAATGCAAGCACCGGTGTTGCACTCTTGCCCATCCCTGGCATCGCCACACTACTCGAGCTCCCATCACTCAGCTGAGAATTGCTCACATGCTGCCTCACTGTCCCCTGATCATACATGCCATTCAATAGCAATGGATCAAAACCACCTGCTAAATCAGCCTTTTGTTTTGATAGATTACTAGCTGACTCCACCAAGGCCAATTCCCAATCAGCTTTACCACTTTCAGCTGCCATTGTTTGCCAAGCCGAAGTCACTTCAGGTTGTCCATTTGATGGAAATGCTTCCCATGATCCATTTGCATTTGTAGAGGCTGGTCCAGAAAACAAAGCCAACGCCAATTTGTTACTCTGATCTTCAGCTGAAACCGCATCATCCTTCAAATTCACCAAGTCTTCAGTCACCTGTGGTGGCTGTGGTTTGTGTTCGGGCATAGGAGGTGGTGCAGGAGTGTAATTCTCCGGTGGAGGGAGTGCTTTCATTTCATTCATATCCGGGGTTGCCACCTCTTTAACAACCGATGAACCCTCTTGCCTACTTCTCTCAGGGCTCCTTGGCTTATTGACCTTTTCCCTCAAAAACCCCTCAAGTGTATCCAAAAGCTTATCAGAGATCTTCTGCACTTCAGGATACTCCGAAGACCTAGCAACCCCAATATCATTACACCACCCATAAAACCCCACAAGCTCATCGATCATCTTTCCTGCACTAACATAAGCATCAAAAGCCTTAACACAATCTGCATACTCCATCTCCGAAAAACGTTCCAACAAAACCCCCAAAACCTCACATACATCATTATAAAGCCTAAAACTCTCCTTCACAACAGGGTATAGAGCAACAAGCACCATCCTACTATTCTTTGCCGCCCCGGTAGGCCAACAAGCCAACAACCGGTTAAAATTCCGAAGCAACTGATTCAACCTCTCCAAAATCCTTTCCGAATTCAATTCCCTAATTGGGGTACTCTCTTTCCTCTGCTCTTCCTCCACCACCCTCTCATTCAAATCACCATAAGACCTCGACCTCCTATCCATCCCATAACTGGATTCTTCCCTAGACTCGCCATTTCCATAACCATCCTCGTATCGCCTCCGATCATCAACACTCAATTTCCTTTCATACACCAAAAATTCAAGCTTTTGATCAAGGTACAACGCATAAGTCCTCACAAACCCCGAATGATCCCACGAATTCGAGTGAGCCTCGTCGCGAAAATCAGACATGTTCAAAACCCTCGTCCCCTTTCGACTCGCATACATGATCTCTTGCCCCAAAACAGGACTCCCATCAACCAACAGTCTGTGTACAAGCATCAAAGCCTTCAATGCCACAATCCAATCACGAGTTTTGCTTAATCGCTTCGAGATGGTCAAAACACACGCGTTGGCGTAGCCTTTCCAATACGAAGTGATTTTCAGGATCTCCCGAACGTACTTCTCGTCGGCAGGTTCGTTGTCGTGGCTCGTCGCCTTGACGATCAAAACTTCGAGGTCCGGCGCGACGTTGCCGGCCACTTTGGCGATGCTGATGCTCGTTTGGTCCTTTACGGCGCCGATCGCCTTCCGGATCGTGCTCGGTGCCATCACCACCACCTCCAACTACTACAATTGAGGTCAGTGGTTGTGATCGTCAATGCGAACTCTTATGAGATCTTGATATATACATGCAGAAATGGATCGATATCTATATATAATATATAACAAATAAATACACGTGTATAGAGAGAGAGAGGGGGAGGAGTTACCGTTTCTGAGATTGGGATTGATCTGAGGCGAAAATGCTTTGATTTGTGGAGAAAATGAGTGATTGATTGACTGACGACAACGACAGTAAATAGCGTATGATCGGATAGGGGTACAGGAGGACGGTGGTGTGAAGGGTTTCTCACTCTATATAAATATATATCGGTACGTCTCTTTCTCTCTCTATATGTACACACAAACGCATACAGTATCTCTTTCCATGCGAAGAAGAAGAAGAAGAAGAGAGAGAGAGAGTCCAAGAGAAGCAGCGCAAGGGAGGGAGAGCAAAACCGCGTGAGTTAAATAGGAGTCAAAAGGACACCACCACACTATTTGCTTTATCAAATGTAACGCCAATTATTATTTTGTTTTAACACGCAGCATATATATTGCTTATTTGACAACAAAATTATAATAATATTGAAATACAAAATAAGGATGTCACTTTTTTCTTTTTAGGAAAGCTGGTATTATTTTTTTCAATATCCGTATATAATAAACTGTTAATCAATCTTTATTTTAAAATGTAACAAATTTTCAACTGAACATATGCAAGGATTATTGTAGACCTCTTTTAAATGGTTTGTGATTTATTAATATAAAAAAATTGGTTGTAAATTTTTTTTTTTTGTGTTTTTGGGAAAGTAATTGGTTGTAAAGTTGGTTCTAATAGGATTAGGATTTTTTTTTTCTCTTGTTAAAAAGAGGAGTAAAAAGCCAGTGAATAAGTTCTATGCCACATCTAATCCACTTTTCGGTTGTTATTTGATCCTTATTTTGGTTATTTTATTTCTATATCCATAGTAAACTAGATTATAAATTATAATGAAGCCAATGTTTCCTTTTACTACTTTTGAGGTGTTACAAAAGAGGTTATACTTGTGAGTCGTTTATTTTTGAATAAAGTATGAAAGCCCCCTTTGGACTTGTAACTTTTTTTTTAGTAAATTCTTTTTATCTATTTTTTTATTAAAGAATCCCCATTGAACTTGTCTAATTATTTTACCAAAAACCCCCCTCAACTATCTGAAGGGGGTAAAATAGTTGATATTTGAACTAAAATGCTCTTTTATTTAAATCTTTATTCTCCCGAAATTCAAAAATTCATATCTCAAAAACCGTACATTTAAAAATTACAAATAATATATGCACGGAAAGATTATGAAATAAGAATTCCAGAAATATTAATTTGTACGACAAGTCTTCATAACCAGAGAAAAATAGGTAATCTAAAAATCTACTCCAACAATCTTATTTTATTTTTAAAAAATAAAATACTGAAAATATTTGTAAGAAATTTTTTAGAATTATTCATTTACATATGGAGCCGAATATATATATAAAAATAATTCTAACAGAAATCGATATCACGAGATATCATATTTTGCGTCAAAGTATTTTCATTCTTTTATTGACTCACCATTTAAAAAATAAATAAAAATGAATATTCGGTCTTTATTGGGGCTAATTTTTTTATATGTTATACTCCATATGAAAATAAACAGTTCTAAAAATTTTCTTACAAATAACCCTAGTATTTTATAAAAAATAAAATAAAATAAGATTATTACAGTAGATGTTTAGATTGTCTACTGGAATCCTTGTTTTATAAGCTTTCTGTACATATATTATTTGTAATATTTGGATATACAGTTTGTGAGATATGAATTTTTGAAGTTCGGAAACATTAAGATTTAAATAAAAAGGCATTTTGATCCAAATATCAACTATTTTACCTCCTTTAGATAGTTAAGAAGGGTTTTTTAGTAAATAATTATACAAAGGAGATTTATTGGAAATAACTACAAGTTGAGGGGAGTTCTTTAGTAAAAAATTAGACGAGATGGGTTTACTGAAAAATATTACAAGTCGAAGAGGGTTTTCTGTACTTTACCCTTTATTTTTTTGTTAAAGTATTAAATTTCAATAACTACTTAGGTGTTATTTTATAGGAGGGCACAAAAAAAAAACCCAAAACTATACAATTGTTGCGTAATGTCCTCCTCAACTATTTTTGGGAGCAAGTTACCCCTCAATTATTACAAGCAGGCAAAATGTCCCCTTTAAGGCCATCGGAGACAACTTTCTGATCTACAAAGTGATACAATTACTAATTTACCCTTAGTTATTAATTTATTATAAAAAAAATATAAAATTCATGAATGTGAAATACCAATAATGCCCTCATATTTTATTTTATTTTTTTCTTCCACAGTCTTCCTTCACCCTCTTCATTCTCTCTCTACCATTCTCTCTCTACCTCTTCTCCTTCACCCACGTCTCACCACGATCACCTTACCATAACCGCCCGGCAACACCACTGCACTACATAAAAGTTCTTCAATCTCCAAAATACCCCTTCTCCGACGTCAACATTTCCTCATTTTGTCCCCCCACAGTTTTGTCCTCTTTTGTCTTTTCACACCAGACACGGTTCCTCTTTTCTAAGTAAACGGTACAAGGTTTTCTATTCCATTTGCTCATTCTGTTCAACCCGCTCTAGTGATATCTCGCAGACCTGGATCATCCACACAAGAGTGTCACACCTTTCAAACAGCAGGATCTTCAAATGTGGCAGTAGATAAATCCTTAATGCGAGGATAAGCAGCTTTCTCATCAAGTTGGTTCTGGGCCCATAACAGCATCTTCAATAAGCTGGGAAGCTTTGGGTCTGCATTCCAATTTATCATTCACAAAAATCATTGATAATTACAAGGAAAAAACTAAATAAAAAATTAACTAGCCAGTTAAGTCAGGTCAGTCAATTTTTTTTAGCAGTGTCCTTCAAAGTCATGTTACAAAGTTCATAATTCAATTACTTGTACCACCAAACACTCCAGACAAATTAACAAGTGGGTGAATTACACTGACCTTGAAATATCCATATGGTCACGGCTTCTTGGAATCCAATCTCAGCCATGGCTTCCCCTTCCCACTGGTGGCGGAGGCCCAACAAAGTTTGATTTTGGAAAAACACCATCATTATGGGAATGTACACGCGGTAGAAAAATTACGTCAATCCATTGAGATATGGTATGCTACAAGTGAATATTTGAGACAAGAAATGAATCCCAATTTTAGGATGACTGACCCTTTTAATCCAGTCCATATAATGTCTTTTTCGGGAGCTAGAGGAAATGCATCTCAGGTACATCAATTAGTAGGTATGAAGGGATTAATGTCGGATCCCCAAGGACAAATGATTGATTTACCTATTCAAAGTAATTTACGTAAAGGACTCTCTTTAACAGAATATATCATTTGCCCCCCCTGCCCAGTAACGGAGCCAGGATTTCAAGTGAGGAGGGGCACACTGTCAAAAAAAAAAAAAAAATAGTACGGAGTATATATATATATATATATATATATATATATATAACAACTATAAAATTCAAAAGGAAAGAAAAATGAAAGAACTTTAATAGGAAAAAAAAACGAAAGAACTTTAATAGGAAATAGTTAAAACATTTTCAATTGAAAAAGAAAATTTTGACTTTTTACTAAGGAAATTTAAGGAATGTGAGAGTAAAAAAGAAAATAAAGGAAAAATAAGAATATAATTTTAGGAACTACAAATTTGAGGGAGGGCACTATATAAAATTTTTCATATATATGGAATTTTTTTTAAAAATCACCACATATATTATAAGTTGCTGGCCAACTCAGGGGGCACATGCCCCCCTAGGCCTTCATTGACTCCGTCCCTACCTCTGCCCATGCTGCCCACTATAATTTTTTATTTATTTTTATATATATATTTGTAAAAAATGATAGAATTCCCCCCTGAAGTTATTAAAATGATCTCTTTTTCCCTAAATCTACTAATATTTATTTTATTTTATGCATATAATTTGTAAATATTTATAAAATACCCTCATAAAATTTATAAATTATCCCCATACAATTATCTATTTCTAAAAACGTCTTTAATTCTTTATTACTTTTCCTTCTTATTCTTCAAATTTCTTTTTGTCATCTTCAAAAACTTTTGCATTCTCTTTTTACAATTAAAATCTATTTTTTCCTTCAAAATTTTCTCATATTTTTTTCTTTTTATTTCATTTTCTTCTTAAAAAAATTCATATTTCTTCTTAAAAATTTATTTTTTCTTGCACTCATACGTAATTTATGTGCAATAACCCTTCTTTTTCTTTTTTATCTTCTTATGCATTTTTTATTCACTTATTCTAATGCACTGTTGTTACACTATTATATTTTCGGCATGCTTGAAAAAAGAAAAAAAATTGTCAATGTTAACATGTCCACCCTGAACCAAATTTCTGGCTCCGCTCCTGCTTCCCACCAAGCCCGTGTTGGTTCCATCAGTGCTTAACTCTCTCCACATTTCCGGCGAACACTAGCAGAAACTGTGGCAACGAACCAATTCATATATTCTGTATCTCTTCTAATCCTCATCCAATTCTGGAGCTTATCAGTGTACCTCCCTTCCCTCCATTTCTCTACATCAATCACCATCACTTCGATGTTGAAATAACACGGATTTCGATCTCTGAAAGCGGTTTTGAACAATGGGCTAGTCTAGAGTTTGTGATTGACGTAATGGGTGAAATTAGCGTGGCAATATTCGGGTGCGCCGAGGACGTGGGAGTTGAGATTGATGTTCCAGAGCTTGGAGACGTCGTCGACGACGATGAGGTCGGAGTCGAAGTAGATGATGCGGTTGAGGCGGGGAGGAGCTCGAAGAGGTATATGCGGGCGTAGTTGAGATGTTGGTCAAACGCATGGTGGATGGAGGCGGAGATCTTGCCGCAGACTAGGTTGGTGTCGAAGTGGTAGAGGCAGAAGGTGAGGTAAGGAAAGGTTGTGAGGACAGTGACGGACCCAGAAAATTTTGTGAGGAGAGACGGCTTTTTAATTTGTGGGTACAAAATTATATGATGGGTTCATTTTTGTAATTTTAATAGGGTTTTTTTCATAAATTTTAAAAAATTTAAAGTATAAAATGAAAAAAAAAAATCACTGGGGCAAATTAAATTCTAGTGGGGGCATCTTCATAAATTATCAAAATTTGATATATAAAATGGTAAAAAAAAAAGAATCCAGTGGGGGCGAATTGTAATTTTGGGGGGGGGGGGGGGGGGGCATCTGCCCCCCATGGTCATCTGCTGGGTCCGTGCCTGTGTGAGGATGGTGCGGTGGAGGTCGGCGAGGAAGTGGAAGACAATGTTCTCCGGGTAGGTGGCGTGTTGGAGGACGGAGAAGACTCCCGCGATGGAGCCGCAGAGGTAGGTGGCATCAAGGGTCATGGCTATGTGGATGGTGGACGATAATGGATTCGGGTGGGTGAAGGAGAAGTGGTAGAGAAAGAATGAAGAGGGTGAAGGAAGACGAAGAAGAAAAAAATAAAATAAAAATATAAGGGCATTATTGGTATTTTATATTCTTGAATTTTATATTTTTTATAATAAATTAATAACTAAGACTAAATTAGTAATTGTATCACTTTGCTATTCGGAAAATTATTTCCAATGGCCTTAAAGGGAGCATTTTGCTTGCTTTTAATAGTTACGGGGACAACTTACTCTCAAAATTAGTTGAGGAGGGCATTATGCAACAATTGTATAGTTCAGTGGAGTTTTTTTTTGCTCTTTTACCTATTTTATAATACAAACTGAATTAATTGTTAATTTTAAATTAAGTGTCGGGACTCTGGAGCTTTGAGAGGGAGAGATTGTTGGTATTCACATAGATCATATATTGTGTGTAGACATGTTTTGAAAACATATACATAGAAATGTATTTATGGAAAGGGTGCAAAGTAGGTGGTATTTACACAGCGGACCAGTCATAATAGACAATATTAGCACTAATCTAAGCGGAAAATGGAAGAGTGCACAATGGGTGTCAAATAGCGAGAACAATGGGTCCGTGATGAGGTGATGAGGGATAGATTGTCAACACTTAGATGTGTATAGACACTTCTTGCGATAACGTTTTGAAAACGATGAGCAACAAGAGTGTGTAAAGCCATGAGCACCGAGGAGGTGACGAGGGAGAGATTGTTTAATGCACTTAAACAATTAAGCAAGGAATAGAATTATCGAACACCACATTACCAGTTGTATTCTGGTGGTCTCTTTTCGGAAGTAAGAGAGTTGAGGAGGATGAAGTCCAGATAAGAATCCATTCACATTAAACACAGCAGTTCAGTACAGAACTCTCGAGACGAAACATAACTAGGTAATTCGATCAACTTTCATGAGCGATTCAGATGATCTTTAGATTATTTTTCTCATTCTGTTTTCAACTAAGATGATAAATTAATAACCGTAAGAAAAAAATCACAAACTAACAGAATATCCTTCTCGAGCGACTGAAGAAGTAACAAAGAACAAGAAACAAGCGTGAGGGCCATTAGCCAACAACATTCATTACTTCCTCATGTAACTCCAATGAATTCCACATACATTCCCTTCACAAATGCCTACTACAGATTTACGCTATGTTTCGCTATTTTTTTTTAAAATTTTACAAATGACAATTTTTAGCACCATGTCTTGGATTCAAATTGATTTGACACCCCTTATTACCATTGAACAAAGTCTATATGAAAGAGATACGTACACTTGGTTTTTTAGGTGAAACAACTAGCAAGCCTCGGCCTCCACAAGGACTTTATTGTTGGGGTTAATTCAAACCGAGTGATTCAGAGGTGCTAGGCCCGGCACAATCTACGTGGGGAGGAGAGGTGCCCCATTTGCCTTCTGATTCAAGTGGTTCAAGTATGCAAACTCCATAATCATTAGAAAGTCCTAATGCAAACTGATTAGGTTCTGTTGGATGTGCTGCGATCACAACTGGATGGACTCCCGGGCTGTCAAATTATTCTGTCAGATACTTACAAGAAGAAGAAAGGTAAAACAAAAAAAGCCTTTCCGATATTGATCTTCTAAAAGAAATTGTGGAAGTACTCACATTGCAGTGGCAGGGAGATAAGAAGTATACTTAATCATGCATCTCAATTGTAATGTAGCTGAAGCAGTAAGAATACCGACACTTCCATCATCAAAACCGACGTATACTGACTGGCTATCACAGGAATATGTAGCATGTGTGATCAGAGAAGCTCTTCCTTTTGGTGGAATCCACAATTTTTAGGAACATAAATTGCCAATACAAATATCAGAAGTCCAAACAACATGGGAAAAACCAACCATTATAAGTGACTGCATTTTTTGAAAACTTTCCAAATTACGCCTGCCCATACATGGACTCGTCAAATATCCAACAAGCGTTTCCAAGTGATGGATTTTCAGGAGTACGAGTAAAAACCGATGCATAATAGGACACTTGGCTTGGGAGGATGCTTAATCTGAATAAATCTAACAGGAAAAAATAAATAAATAAAATTTATATGCCACACCTTATCAAGGAGTTCCAACTCAGGTGCTTTGTATATGGATATCTCAGTTGCACACGCTACAAGTAAATGTATCTGATCTTGGTGAAATTGTATGAAGGTATCTGTAACAAGAACTTTGCCTGGCACATATGGAATATGCAAGGCTGTACTCTCTAGAAAATTATATTCATCCTCTTCAGAGTTCCAAACACACAGCTGTACAAACAAACGGGAATCACTATCAGTATAATCCAACATATAACGTTTTGCCTACTTAATCAATATTTGCTTTGTTGCCGGAGATAAAATAGCTGAAATATAGATGAAGCTTGAAGGAAACAACATATACAATTATATTACTAATGAAGTTAATTTTAAAGAATCATCCCAACCAGGGCTGCCCTTGCAGTCTATAATAAGGTGGCATCAACATCTACCATGTGGAGATTGGAAAAAATTAAAGTACAAAGCCAAACACTAAGCTAAGTAAGAGAGAGTGGAGTTCTGCACACTATTGGCCATCACTTGGTATTTTCTCTTCTTTTTAAATTTCTTAAATACAAGTTACTGCATTTTCTAACATAAGCAAAAAAATTGATAAACATTTTGCCTCCAATATCTTACCTGAGCATTATCTCCTGAAGACACAAGCACATTTAGAACAGTAGAGAAGGCAAGGCCTGTTATACTTCCCTGATGACCGTTGAACGTGGTTATGAGCTGTGTAATGGAACACACATAATGTTGATTAAATAATCATCGTATCTATCAGCAAACTTACAAACATTAGGCTTCAATTTAAACAGAGGAAAACCTCATAATACACGTGGCTATATATTTGGATATAAGAGTCTTTCATGCCTACAGCAATGATTCTGTCATCCTGAGGATAAAATGCAAGAAATGTTGCTGCAGACGGAGTCTGAGACAGAGGCGGAGACAGAGATGTAGACGGAGACGTTGGTGGAGACGGAGACAGAGACATTGGCACAGACAAAGGTTGAAATGGAGGGGGATCCAATGTCCTAATTGTCTGCATTTGGAAAGCACAACCACCAAAAAGAAGTTATGAAAAATAGTACAGGCAAAATTTAGAAATTTTCTGTCCACGAAGAAAGCTCCCAATAAGTTTTCAAATATTATTCATTGACATTGAAATTTCCATAGTAATTTTTCTTTTTTCACTTCGAAATAGTTTTGAGTTTTGACCATATAACTAATGCAAAACAAGAAACAACTATAACTGAGAAAATGAAGGAGCCAAAATTTGCGGCTTATATAATAATTCCAAGATTATTTTATAGAACTTTTACATCCCAAGCAGTTATTAAATCATAGAATTTGATCTCCAAACAAAGAATAGAACCTAGGGGTTAAGTGTATCTAACAAAAGTTAATGTTGCATAGAGCTCAGCTAAATTAATAATCATTAAGTTCCCCTATCATACTTTTTCATTACTTAGTGATAATAAATTAACCAACTGTACATGGGCAAAGATGGAGAAGTGGTGGAAAGGCCATTTACCTCAAATGTCATCAGCTTATATATCGAGATTTTGCCCCCTGAAGATGACATAACACAAGAGCCATTCGGTGTCAGTGCAAGGGTATGTATACAGGGATTGTATACAGGGTGTGTATCACTAACATCATTAGTCATCAATATTCCACATGAAGGTTGCCATAGTTGCGGTACAACACAAGCAGTTGCCTACAAGAGGAAAGTTGTGTATAGGCAGCAATACTATCAATATTAATGGAACAGAGTGAAGATGTTCAACTTTCAAGCACAGGTGAACTTGTACCTTATCATTCCTTGGCCATTTCCAGATGGTGTGCTCAGCATTTTCCGCTAATGCCAATATGGCAGCTCCTGATTCTGTATACATCAATCTGGAAACCTAACATGTTGAAAAAGAGACAGAACCATAAAAATTTGAATACCAAGCACACTAAGAGGGCTAACTTTAGTTCAATTAGGGGGGAAAAAAAGAAAGGAAAAGATTCTTTAACTTCTAGAAAATCTCAATGTTGGCAAGCTCAAATAAAAATATATTATGAGTTCTGAATTTTCAAGTTCAGCAAAGCAACTTTCACTCGATGTAGTTAAGCCTAATCAGTCAGCTGAAGAAGTGCCACTAATCATCTCTGCACATCAGTAGAGGCAGCAATGGCTTTGGTCTAGTCTAAAAAAACACATCGCCATGAATGTCCATGTGCATGTGACTGTAAGCATGCAAACATGGGTGTGTACAATTATCTTAACTGATTAAATCGTCCTATCTCCAGAAACCTAGAGAAGGGAAGTCATCTTTTGTGATAAATTAAACATGATGGACAAAGAGAAAATAAATTATTGACGAACCAAAAACATTTATAACTGCATATTATTGAACTTATGAGTGTCTTTATTTCTCAACTCATTTCAAATGATTTTTTTTCCTTCCTTTTTGAATTAAAAAACGTGAGTTCTTTTGCGGAGGTTATCACTTGGCGAGTGAGCGCGCACAAGTGTGTGAGAGAGAGATGAAAAGGAAGCAGGAAAATTAAAAACTACAGTTTCTAAGAAGTTTAAACAGAGTAAACACGTACCCCAATTGCTGTTAAACTGTCTGGGAGTCTTAGGGAGCGGCATTGTGATGGTTCATTGATTTCTTTCAGTTCCCAGATGCTAGATTTGCTATTCTACAGGAACTCAAAAGGAAAAAGTTACTAAAGCCACATGTGTTTAGTAAATCTACATCTTACATCTAAGCATAAGTTGCACAGATACAACAAAATCACATAAAATCATATGCAATAATTACATTGACAAAATAAATACACAGGTTAATAAATAAAATGCTTTTCTGATGGAGACAGTGACTCTCAATAATGCAAACACTGATGCTCTTGGAGTAGTTGGATCTTGCTTGATCCAACAGTTGCCCAAGTTTGTTCCAAGTAAATATGGTAGCATTCAAAATGGATTTATTATAAAGTAGATAATTTAGAAAGAAAAAGAAGAAAAGAAAAGAAGTAAACATGCATGTGCACAAATACGCACACTCATATCAATGTCACTCATGGCAGAAATGTGAATGGAGACCCAATATAAAGATGGCATATATTAGGTCAGACCTCTTAGAAGGAGAGTTCTTTTAGGTACATACAAACCGACATCAGATCAAAACCTAACAGAGAGAAGAAAGAAGCTTAATTTCTCATGTCAATGCCCTCTTTCTCCTTTCTAAACTTAAATTAGTGCATTCGATGTTGTTTCCTTGTGCATTTCATATCCTCCCAAAATTAGCTTCTACACCTAAAAACACTTAAATTGTTGGTCACATTTTACAGAAACATTTAATGTTGACAGGAAATGGATGTCTTCTGAAAAACTGCTCAGTCAAATTCTGTACCAGCTAATGTTGATACGTCTTTTGTTAAGTAAAAAACTCTCGTGTATCCTAATTAGTTGCTTCAAATTCAACTAGGAAAAAGTATTCTAAAATTCTAATGCCAATAGTGAACTGGGAATGCTATCCAAATCCCAAAAGACAAAACTAAAAGAGAACCAAAAACCTTTCAAATATTTTCTGAACCAAGAAAAATACATCAACCAACCACTTTTAGCACTTTGTTCAACGATAACAGCATTCTATGACTACAAATTCGAAATTAAATTGTTCTATAGGATGGATTAAATGCATAGAAAAGGTAAATGTTCAATTCATATGCTTATTTTAGGAAAAAGAATCAAGTCCTGATCCTTGAAAAGGATCTCCATTTTTTACTATTTCCATGAATAATACAACTTAGAGCTTCAAGGTAATGAACACCATACACATCTCAAAATCATGGAAAAGAAAATAATATATTTTTTAAGAAAAAAAAAAAAAAAAATCAAAGCTCTAAATTTTGGATATAGAGCTCAAAATTCTAGTAATAGAGCTTCATCTGGAATCCCCAAAGGTCTCAGTCTCTCCAACACATGTTCAGAATCTGCTGTTTGATAGACCACAGCAGAGTTTTTCGTAGGAGGAACCCCAGGGTGCTCTAAGATAGCTGCTACAGTGAGACGTATACATGTGTAGAACCGTAGAAGGCATCCGCTATGGGAAAGCACTCGTCAACTAGGAAAAAGAATAATGATAAAAAATATTTTATCCCTTTCACATATCATTGTTCCTTTGTTGGGCACAAGTGAAATATTTCTTATCACTAATATTTTCATCCATTTCTAGATTTGTTTGGTATGCTGGTATGCTATAGCAATCAAAAAAATTGCGTCACATGTAGATAGCGTAAAAGCATAAAGACAATACCATACTATATATACTTACATCTTAACTGCAGCAAAACCCACGGGCTCGGCAGGAGAGGCAAATGCAGTGAAATCAAGGGGCTTTTTAGATGATGTTGGTAGATGAGCTAGCACCGGCTGAAATGGATTAAAAAAAAAAAAAAGAAGTAGCACCCCATATTAGATTTCTAGAAACCAGAAAGCAGTCCATTATTAAGAATAATTCATTATAGTTCACTTACACCATGAGCACCGAAAGGCGAAAAATCCCCTGCTTTAGGAAAAGCACCTGTTAGAGGATTAGCTACAGAAGGTAAAGCTTGTGGACCAATTGTCAGCAACTGGCTACGAGAAGGGTCCACAAGCGGGGTTTCTGTGTCAGTGATAAGCGTGGGATTCTCATGAAACAGATTCTGGCAATTCAAACTGCAACAAAACAAAGAGTAATGTCAACTGAAAACAAACATTCATTTAAAAAAAAAAAAAAATCAACTCTACAAAGACAAAGATAATGACCTTTGAGTCATTAGAGTCTGCAGTCTGGATTTCAAGTCAGGACAATTTAGCTTGTCACGCAACAGGGGGTTACTTCGAATCAACAATTCAAGTTCATGAAACAAATTTCTCCTCGCAGACTTGGATAGTTGCTCATTTTCTCTGCAAGACTCCCAAGTTAATATACATTACATCAGAATCCAATAATACAGCAAATCTTTAGTACATGACAAGTACCTAAAGTTCTCCAACACCAGAAGCTGTGGCAGTTCTTTAAAATGGCTTTCGTCGAAAGCCGAAACCACTTTTAAGTCCCTTAGAATATCAACAGCTTTAGCCGTATCTTTCCTACAATTAAAGAAGAGAAAAACAGGGGAATATAAAAACAAGTTCCTCTTTGAAGTAAAACTATAAAAGAGTTGGGGTAAATGCAACCCTAACAAAACATGTATAGCATGCATCCAATTTCATCAATCTATGGAATATATAGTTTACCTGTCTACGGCTTCTAGGTACTTCTGCTTTCGGATCTTGAAGAAAACTTTCGTGGAGTATTCGTTATCATCAACCTTCGTAAATCCAGAAAAATACTTCTCCACCTCATCCCAATCCCCACTCTTCACCAGTTCCTCAATATAGCTGAGGTTGAAGAAAAGTCCCAACTCTTGCTCCAACCTCCATCATATAAATAAATAATTAAACAAAATCAAATTAACTAACCACAACAAGTCACACACACACACACACACACTATATATATATATATATATATATATATATATATATATATATATATATATATATATAATAACCATCTGGTTGATTGCTCAGTAAAAATATAAAAAAAAAATGTTTGTAAGTGATATAATCTAAACCTAAACAGCTGTTAAGGTTCATTCAACAGAAGAATGTATAAAACCTTACTTGTGAGCAGTCTCATTAAATTTCTCTTCACCGAGAAACTGACGTAGAAGAAACACAAATTCTCTGTTCAGGAACGACATGCTTGTCTTCAAAATGGTCGAAACTGCAAAAAGTGAAAATAAAAAGATAGAAACACAGACAGATTCATACTAACAGATCGAACAAACACGCCTCAACTGAAATCCCTAAATTTCCAAACAAACGCATCAAACAATTGAGTTCTAAGTCCTAATTGCTTGATTCTCGTCAACATCAAAAGAATGAGACAACCGCATCTGGAATCCATATATCCGAAGAATTAGAGTAACTCATCGTTTTCTTGAACTTCCAGTATCATCTTACTATGGTTATGTGTCTATACATATATATTATATTTACACATACATGTGTGTACGTGTGTGTGTGACTGTGTGAGAGAGGGGGAGAGAGATGTGAAGCGAAGATTAAATAATGCAATCGCGAGAACGAATTGACACTGTTGAATATTCAAGAAGGAATGGAATCTAGCTCTTGAAGCTTTTCTCGAATTTCCATTTCATCTATGTATGTATACATAATATACATTCTATATATATATATATACACACACACATTTATATATGTGTGCGTGTGTGTGAATTAGTGAGAAAGTTAAGAAGCACGCGATTGTACCTTGATTGAACGAGAACGAGAACGAATTGCAGAGTCCGTAGACGACGAAGACAGTCTGTCCTTCAACCAATCTTTCTCTCTCTAGAGATTTGAAGAGAAAGAAGGAGAGCGCGCGCGCAAATGATTCCAGACGAAGTTACCAAGTTGGTTTAAAATTGAAAAAATAATACTCCGTACTAATAAAATGAAGGGACGCCTTTCACGCTTATTTTGTTAAAGTTACAAAAATGTCCCCCACAACATATTTATTAAAAACTCTATAAATTTGGTACCACTAAATTTTGGGTCTTCAAAATCAACCCCCCTCTCAAAATTTCCCACATCTCTGCCCATGGATACTCACAATTCTAGCCCAAATTATTAGATGATTCTGGACCATTAATACTTGGTGGACCAGTTAAATACAGATTTTCGGATTGAAAAAATAACCCTACAACAGTACGATATTAATAAATTACAAAGTTTAATGATCGGAGGATTTTAGTTCACCAAGTATCAAATAGACCAGGACCATCTAATAATTTCTCTCATAAAAATCATAATGATTGTTGTAGTATAAAGAAGGGTTGTTTATCTTTTGTTTAAGTCTTAAATTTCATTAACTACTTAATTCAACTTTTAAATTTTGTTCAGTCTTAAATTTCATTAAAATTTGTTCAGTTTTATTAACTACTTAAATTTCATTAACTATTTAAAATAGGATTGCAAGGATTAAGTGCATTGAAGATGCTTCTTTCACCTTGTTATGTTATGTTCACATAGATTCAGAATATGAATCTTAAATTACATTCATGATACGCAACTCATTATTTAATAAAGAACGAATTTTTATCATTTTAATGTGTATGCAGTTGCCAAAAGTATGTCGTATACCCTTTTGTTCACATTTTAGATTATTTCTTTGACAAAATTATGGTACAATGTAGTAATGTGGCACAAATTTACGGTTAAAAAAGTGTTTTGCGATCTTCACCAACAAATAAAATAAAATAAAAGAAGTAAATAGTAATGGCCTAACGCGCACCGGTAGCCAATTAATTAAGATGTCTCTTGAGTGCTTGGACTCTCACAAAATATAAAAACATTAGTAATAGATAATAATGTATACTGAATTGAAAATTTTGTGTGTATATGTATATATATATTTTTATAAGAAACTAAATAATATTAGGTCAGAATAAAAATGACCTTGTTCAGTAGTGACAGCCGAATTAATGTCACAAGATTTCTGTCATTTGTGGCTATGGCAACCATTTGTAAAAAAAAATTAAAAAAAATGAAAGAAAATAAAAGAAAATTTCCATTCACATTAAATAAAAATATCCACACTTTTTCAAGAAGCTGACCTTTCCTATTTTTGTATGATAGAATTGGACCCACATATATGAAGACCTCACGGCCCATCTTTTATGATCCATCGAACCCAAATGTGCATATTCCAAGCCCAATCACCCAAACCCAACCAACTTACGGAGTATGAATTATTCGGCGTTCTTAAATACTCAAGATTTCAAAATCCATCTTTTTTTTTTTTTTTTTTTGATAAATGTTTCAAAATCCATCTAATTTTATCTAATTATTTGAAAATTCTAAAAAAATTATGCTAGCAATTAGTTTTTTTTTTTTTTTTTTTTTTTTTTTTCCATTTTTATCAAAATAAATTAGTCTATTTTTCAAATGGATAAAAATTTATTCAAATTATTTCAATAAGAACTCATAATCTTTATGAAAAATTTTAGTAGAATTTTAAATTTTTGTATATCATTTAAATTTACATCATAATATATATGAGTTAACTAAAACATAAATGAACGTAGGAAAGTAAAAGTATTCTATATCAATTTTAGAATAGAAACTCTAATGGCAAAACTTTACTTCTATTTAGTAAGAGTGTATGTGAAAAATTGGGAGGTTAAAGGATTAGTAGAATTATTGATCCTATAATAATAATAATAATAATAATAATAATAATAATAATAGTAATAGTAATGGACTTATTAATCTTTTACTAAAAAAAAACAGTAAGACTTCCAAGTAATTTTTCCTATTGATTAGGAAACAAACAGTCAAAGCACGTAAAAGAAAATAAAAAATAAAAAATAAAAAAATTGGACCCACATATATGAAGGCCTCACCGCCCATCTCTTATGATCCATCGAACCCAGATGTGCATATTCCAAGCCCAATCACCCAAACCCAACCAACTTACGGAGTATGAATTATTCCGCGTTTGTTATTCAAAATCCATCTTCTTTTTTTATTTATTTTTTTATTTTTATAAATGTTTCAAAATCCATCTAATTTCATCTAATTATTTGAAAGTTCTAAAAAAATTCTGCTAGCAATTAGTTTTTTTTTTCTTTTCATTTTTATCAAAATAATTAGTCTATTTTTCAAATGGATAAAAATTTATTCCAATTATTTCAATAAGAAATCAAAATATTTTATGAAAATTTTTAGTAGAATTTTAAATTTTTGTATATTAAAAATGATTGTGGTAAATCTACAAAATATTATTGGAATTGAGCTTTAATTAAATTAATTATCATTTAAATTTACATCAGAATATATATTTATTAACTAAAACATAAATGAACGTAGGAAAATAAAAGTATTCTATATCAATTTTAGAATAGAAACTCTAATGGCAAAACTTTACTTCTATTTAGTAAGAGTGTATGTGAAAAATTGGGAGGTTAAAAGATTTGTAGAATTATTGATCCTATAATAATAATAATAATGGACTTATTTGTCTTTTACAACAACAAAAAAAAAAAAAAAAAGGTAAGACTTCGGAGTAATTTTTCCTATTGATTGAAACAACCAGTTAAAGCGCGTATTAAAAAAAAAAAATTACTGAGTATATATATATATATATATATATATATTCTTAGTCCTAATCATTCCAGTCAGTGTGTATGATACTTGTGCCGCCAGAGGGGAGCGTATATATACACACACACACACACACATAGACATATGTATATTCTTTGTTCTTAAGTCTCAAGTCTAAATCTCTCACATACCATTCTCTTTCTCTTTCATCACCCAAACCCTACAAAAATTTTCCAAGTCTGTTTCTTTAATCTTGTTTCTTCTTCAAACAATTAATGGCGAAACAGTTCTTTATTGCTCCTAGTCTATCCTTTCCGACCAAGAACACAGCATTTGCAGACTCGGAAAATCAAGAAAATAGTGCGAAACAGTTCTTTGTCGCTGATAGTCTTTTCTCTCCTTTGAAAAACACAGCAGTTGGAGACTCGAAAGACGAAGAACACAGTGTGGTTTCATCGGAAAAGATGGAAGTATTAATGGAGTCCAGTAGTACTACTAGTTGCATCCCACAACCAAGAACCATGGAAGGACGTTGCATAACAAGAAAACCTGCCGAAAAGGTTTCAACCCAATTGATGAAACCATCTTCCATTATTATCATCAAGAAAAGGAAGATGATGATGGGTGATAATAACCCATGTTGCTCTCTGGCTCCCAAACCCAAACAACAGAAGATTCAAAGAGAAGAAGAAGAAGAAGAGATGACAAGGTTGAGGCTGTATGAAGATCCCTGGAAAATCAAGAAGATACTGACAAAAAGTGATGTGAATACTTCATGCAGGCTCCTGTTATCACAAGAATCAGTCCACAAACATATAATCCCTCTGTTCAGCGCTAAACAAGCCACGGATTGTGGGACTGTAGGTGGCACAAAGCTTAAGGTTTTTGACTTCGACACAAGGACTGAACATGAGTTGACGCTCAAGAGATGGAAGACAGAAAGCTATTTGCTCACCGGTGGCTGGATCAAAGAGTTCAAAAACAGGAGGAACTTGGAGGTGGGTGATGAGGTTGGCCTTTTCTGGAATCCATACCTTTCAAGACTCTATTTTACCCTTCTCAAAAAGGCAGCTGCCTAGTCATATGTGAATGCTTCGTTGTAACATGACTTGTATCATGGCTTGAATGGTTTTATTATATGTTTAATGAATATGATTAATAATATCTCAGTCTTGAAAAGCTTTAAGTATTCTATACTTTGCCTTCTAGCAATAAAACCAAGCACTTAATAATAAACTAATAGAGATGAGTTCTTTTAGATAATTTTAGAAGCAACAACAAAGTCCATTCTTTTGCTAAACTTCTCTAAAACGCACTGTTGATGTACAAATTAATGTGGACAAAATTCTTTTTTCGGTAATTCCCGTGTCTAGAATAAATAGAAAATGACCTACTCTTATCTTTTACTTGGATGAAATCTATGAATTTCAAAGCCTAGCTTGAAATCTCCAATAAAGCATATATATATGGATCAAACCAGAGTATATGAACTGTTTGGTGTAGAACATACCTTGTTAAGGCTAGAAGCTTATGGGACATCAAAGCTCCAAAGCAGTCATCTTGGTGTTGGAAGAAATTGCTCCAGTTGAGGTGTCTTGCCGGGCATCTCTCTGATCAGGAAAAAGATTGGCGTCGGCAGAGGCACATTCTTTCTGGACAGACATCTGGTTTGGGAGTCGATCTTTCCACATTCCCAAACACAAAATTATCCTGTGCCTGGCCATCCGACGTCTTGGCACATACCCTCTTTGCTTTTGAATTGTCTGGTAGTCTTAGAGAGCGGCATTGTGATGGTTCATTGATTTCATTCAGTTTCCAGGTCCTAGATTTGTCTACCAACTCATAAGAAATTCTGGAATTTTCATCTGCAGGACTTTGATTTATGCTATTCTACGGGAACTCAAAAGGAAAAGTTAATCACTAAATGCACATTTGTAAATCTACATCTGACATCTAAGCATAACTTAATAACTTGCACAGATACAACAAAATCACATAAAATCATATGCAATAATTATATTGACAACAATGCAAAGTTCTATTCTGATGGAGACAGTGACTCTCACCAATGCAAACATTGATACTCTTGGCACAGTTGGTCTGAAATGCTTGATCCAGCAGTTGCCCAAGTTTGTTCCAAGTAAATATGGTAGCATTCAAAATAGAATTATTATAAAGTAGATAATTTAGAGAGAGAGAGAGAGAAAAAAAATAAAATAAAATAAAATAAAAATGAAAAAGAAAAAGAAAAAGAAGAGTAAACATGCATGCGCACAAATACGCCCACTCAAACCCTAAGTTAATTTAGTGTATTCGATGTTGTTTACTTCATTTAGTAATTACATCAGGTTAGTTTTCTTGTGCATTTCATATCCTCCCAAATTTAACTTCTACAACCATAAACACCTAAATTGTGGGTCACGTTTTACAGAAACATTTAATGTTGACAGGAAATGGATGTCTTCTGAAAAAACTGCTGAGTCAATTTCTGTACCAGCTAACATTTATTAAGTACATAAATCTCATGTATCCTAATTAGTTGCTTCAAAATCAACTAGAAAAAATATTCTAAAATTCTAATGCCGAAACTGAACTGGGAATGTGATCCAAATCCCTAAAGACAAAACTAAAAGAGAAGCAAAAGCCTTTCAAATGTTTTCTGAACTACGATAAATACAAGAAGTCAACAACCAACCCCTTTTAGCCCTTTTTTCAATTATAATGGCATTCTGTGACTACAAATTCCAAATTAAATTGGTCTATTTGATGGATTAGAGGGAAATTATCAATTCATATACTTATTTTAGGAAAAAGAATCAAGTCCTGATCCTTGAAAAGGATCTCCATTTTTTACTATTTCCATGACTCACACAACTTAGAGCTTCAAGGTATGAGCATCATACACATCTCAAAATCATGGAAGAAAGTAATAGGCTTGTTCTTTTTATAAATAAATAAAATCAAAGCTCTAAAATTTGGATACAGAGCTCAAAATTCTAGTAATAGAGCTTCGAGTGCCACTAAATCCATGGAAAATACAGAGGACCCGTTATGTATTACTTCATCCGGAATCCCGGAAGGAATCAGCCTCTCCAACACATGTTCAGAATTTGCTGTTTGATAGACCACAACTGAGATTTTTGTAGGAGGAATCCCATGGCGCACTAAGATAGCTGCTACAGTGAGACGAATACATGGGTAGAACCATAGAAGGCATCCGCTATGGGAAAGCACTCGTCAATTAGGAAAAAGAATAATGATAAAGAATGTTTTATAAAAAACATCCCTATTATAAATTCTCCAAGATACAAAATTTAAAAAGCTTGAAAGCATGCCGTTCACATATCACTGTTACTTAGTTGGGCACAAATGAAATATATCTTATCCTCCATTTCTAGATTTGTTTGGTATGCTGGTAATAGCAATAAAAAGAAATTGTTTGACATGTAGCTAGTGTAAAAGATTAAAGGACAATACCACACCATATGTACTTACATTCAATGCAGCAAAACCCATAGGCTTGGCAGGAGCTAGCGCTGGCCGAAGTGGATGAAAAAAGAAGTAGCACCCATGTTAGATTTCTAGAGACCAGAAAGCAGTCCATTAATTAGAATAATTCATTCTAGTTCACTTATACGATGACCACCTAGAGGCGAAAGATCCCATGCTTTGGGAACAGCACCCATTAGAGGATTATCGATAGGCTTCGGATTCTCATGAAACAGATTCCGCCAATTCAAACTGTAACACAACAAAGAGTAATGTCAACTGAAAACAGACTTTCATTTAGAAGAAAAAAGAAATCAACTCTACAAAGCCAAAGATAATGACCTTCGATTCATTGGAATCTGCATTCTGGAGTTCAAGTCAGGAAAATTTAGCTTGTCACGCAACAGGGGGTTTCTTTGAATCAACAATTCAAGTTGATGAAACAAATTTCTCCTAGCAGACTGGGTATCTCCATATTGAGATAGTTGCACATTTTCTCTGTAGGACTCCCAAGTTAATATATTTACATCAGAACCCATTAATAATACAGCAAAACTGAGGTACATGACACTTACCTAAAGTTCTCCAACGTAAGAAGCTGTGTCAGTTCTTTAAAATGGTTTTTGTCTAAAGCCGAAACCACTTTCAAGTCCTTTAGAATATCAACAGATTTAGCCCGATCCTTCCTAAAATTAAAGAAGACAGGAATATAAAAACACGTTCCTCTTTGAAGTAAACTATATAAGAGTAGAGTAAAATGCACAAAACATGTACAGCATGCATCCAATTTCATCAATTTATGGCATACATAGTTTACCTGTCTAAGCCTTCTAGGTACTTCTGCTTTCGGATTCCAAAGAAAATTCTCATGGAATATCTGTTATCATCAACCTTCGTAAATCCAGATAAGTATTTCTCCACCTCATCCCAATCCCCATTGTTCATCAGTTCCTCAAAATATCTGAGGTTGAAGAAAAATCCTGACTCTTGCTTCCAACCTTAATAAATAATTAAACAAAATCAAATTAATTAACCACACCAAATCACACACACACTATATGTATATATATTATATAGTAATCACCTGGTTCACTGCTCAGAAAAGGGAGGATTGTAAAAAAATAAGAAATGTTTGAAAGTGATATAATTGTGATCTTTTTAAATTCAGAAAATTTAAGAACATAATCTATCTTGTCTAAACAGTTAAGTTTGACTGTTTGAAGGCTTGAAGCCTTGAGCTACTTGGTGAAAAATAATAAAAATCAAAACTATGGAATTTTAAATTCTCTCGTTTTCATTCATTTCTTAATATCCAGCAGAAATAACACAATAAATGTACAAAATAAAATAGAAAAACGGACAGATTCATACAAACAGATCAAACAAACACACCTCACCAGAAATCCCTAAATTCCAAACAAACGCATCAAACAATTGACTTCTAAGTCCTAATTGCTTTAATCTCGTAAACAATGAGACAACATCTCCTGGAATCCATATATCTGAAGAATTAGAGTACCTCATCCTTTTTTTGAACTTCCGATATCATCTTATTATATTTATGTATCTATACATATAAATTTGTGTGCGCGAGCGTGTGCGAGAGAGAGACATGTGAATCGAAGACTAAATAATGCAATAGCGAGAACGAATTGACACTGTTGAATATTCAAGAAGAAATGGAATCTAGCTCTTGAAGCTTTTTTTGAATTTCCATTTCATCTATTTATGCATAAATTCTACACACACACACACATCCATAGATGCGTGTGTGAATTAATGAAAAAGTTAAGAAGTACGCGTTTGTACCTTGATTGAACGAGAAAGAGAACGAATTGGTGATTCTGTAGAAGACGAAGACAGTCAACCAAGCTCTCGCTCTAGAGATTTGAAGCAGAGAGAGAGCGCGCGCAAATGCTTCCAGACGAACGGATGCCTTTCACCCTTATTTTGTTGAAAGTTACAATAATGCCCCCACAATTTTTTTTTTTTTTTTTTTGTTTTTTTGAAAGGTCCCCAAAAAAATATTTGTTATTATATAGTATGTAGTAGTATTAAGCCGCAGTGAATAAGTTGTATGGCACATCTGATCCAGTTTCCGATTCTTATGATCCTTATTTTAGCTGTAACATTACTATATGCAAAGTTACAATAATGCCCCCACAAAAATATTTGTTACTGTATTATATATTTAGTAGTATAAAGCCACAGTGAATAAGTTGTATGGCACATCTGATCCAGTTTTGCGATTCTTAATTTCTATATGCAAAGTTGATAAATTATGCTATAATGGAATATGGAACCCATGTTTCCTTTTAATACTTAGAACTGACTTTATAATAAGGGTTGTTTATCTTTTGTTTAAGTCTTAAATTTTATTAATTACTTATTTCGACTTTAAAAATTTGTTCAGTCTTAAATTTCATTAAAATTTGTTCAGTTTCATTAACTATTTAAAATAAGATTGTAAGGATTTAAGTGCATTAAAGATGCTTCTTTCACTTTGTTATTGTGTCAGCACAACGAATTAAAAAACTCAATTGTATATGAAGTTTTAACTAGGAAGTAATCATTTGACTGTCCGCCATGTTATTTTTACGTAGATTCAAAATACGGATCTTGAATTACATTCATGATACGCAATTCATCATTTAATAAAGAATGAATTTTGATAATTTAAATGTGTATGCAGTTGCTCAAATTATGTTAATTGTGCCCTTTTGTTCAAATTTTAGATTATTTCTTTGACAAAATTATAGTACAATATAGTAATGTGGCACAAATTTGCGGTAAAAAAGGGTTTTGCGATCTTCATCAACAAATAAAATAAAATTAAAGAAGTAAATAGTAATGGCCTAACCTGCACCGGTAGCAAATTGATTAATATGTCTCTTGAGTACTTAGACTTCCACAAAATATAAAAATATTAGTAATAAATAATAATGTGTACTGAATTGAAAACTTTGTGTGTGTGTATATATATATATTTATAAGAAACTAAATAATATTAGGTCAGAATAAAAATGACCTTTTTCAGTAGTGATAGCCGAATTAATGTTACCAGATTTCTGTCATTTGTGGCTATGGCAACTTACGAAGTATGAATTATTCGGCGTTCTTAAATACTTTCAAAATCCTTTTTTTTTTCAAAATCCATATAATTTTATCTAATTATTTGAAAATTCTAAAAAAATTATGCTAGCAATTAGTTTTTTTTTTTCATTTTTATCAAAATAATTAGTATATTTTTCAAATGGATAAAATTTTATTCAAATTATCTCAATAAGAAATCATAATATTTTATGAAAAATTTTAGTAGAATTTTAATTTTTTGTATATTAGAAATGATTGTGGTAAATCTACAAAAATATTTTCGGAATTGAGCTTTAATTAAATTAATTATCATTTAAATTTACATCATAATATATATTAATTAACTAAAACATAAATGAACTTAGGACAATAAAAGTATTCCATTTCAATTTTAGAATAGAAACTCTAATGGCAAAACTTTACTTCTATTTAGTAAGAGTGTATGTGAAAAATTGGGAGGTTAAAGGATTTGTAGAATTATCTATCCTATAATAATAATAATAATAATAATAATAATAATAATGGACTTGTTTGTCTTTAATAAAAAAAAGCAAGACTTCGGAGTAATTTTTCCTATTGATTAGGAAACAACCAGTTAAAGCGCGTATTAAAAAAAATAACAATAAAATAAATAAATTACGGAGTGTGTATATATATATATATATATTCTTGATCCTAATCATTCCATTCAGTTAGTATGATATTTGTGCCAGAGGGGAGCGTGTGTGTATATATATATATATACATATAGACATATGTATATTCTTGGTTCTTAAGTCTTTAAGCCTAAATCTCTCACATACCACATTCTCTCTCTCTCTTTCATCACCCAAATCTTACAAATATTTCCCAAGTCTGTTTCTTTAATCTTGTTTCTTCTTCAAACAATTAATGGCGAAACGGTTCTTTATTGCTCCTAGTCTATCCTCTCCGACCCTGAACACAGCATTTGCAGACTCGGAAAATCAAGAAAATAGTGCGAAACAGTTCTTTGTCGCTGATAGTCTTTTCTCTCCGTTGAAAAACACAGCAGTTGGAGACTCGAAAGACGAAGAACACAGTGGGGTTTCATCGGAAAAGATGAAAGAATTCATGGAGTCCAGTAGTACTACTAGTTGCATCCCACAACCAAGAACCATGGAAGGACGTTGCATAACAAGAAAACCTGCAGAAAAGGTTTTAACCCAATTGATGAAACCATCTTCCATTATTATCATCAAGAAAAGGAGGATGATGATGGGTGATAATAACCCATGTTGCTCTCTGGCTCCCAAACCCAAACAACAGAAGATTCAAAGAGAAGAAGAAGAAGAAGAAGAAGAGATGACAAGGTTGAGGCTGTATGAAGATCCCTGGAAAATCAAGAAGATACTGACAAAAAGTGATGTGAATACTTCATGCAGGCTCTTGTTATCACAAGAATCAATCCGCAAACATGTAATCCCTCTGTTCAGCGCTAAACAAGCCACATATTGTGGGACTGTAGATGGCACAAAGCTTAAGGTTTTTGACTTCGACACAAGGACTGAACATGAGTTGACGCTCAAGAGATGGAAGACAGAGAGCTATTTGCTTACCGGTGGCTGGATCAAAGAGTTCAAAAACAGGAGGAACTTGGAGGTGGGTGATGAGGTTGGCCTTTTCTGGAATCCATACCTTTCAAGACTCTATTTTACCCTTCTCAAAAAGGCAGCTGCCTAGTCAAATTCAAATGCTTCATTGTAATTAACATGACTTCAGATGTATCATGGCTTGAATGGTTTTATTATATGTTTAATGAATATGATTAATAATATCTCAGTTTTGAAAAGCTTCTAGTATTCCACTTCATTTTGTATATTTTGCCTTCTAGCAATAAAACCAAGCACTTATAATATACTAATAGAGATAAGTTCTTTTAGATAATTTTAGAAGCAATAACAAAGTCCATTCTTTTGCTAAACTTCTCTAAAACACACTGTTGATGTACAAATGTGGACAACATTCTGTTTTCGGCAATTTGTATATCAAGAATAAATAGAAAATGACCTACTCTTGCCTTCTTGCATGAAATCTATGAATTTCAAAGCCTAGCTTGAAATCTCCAATAAAGCATATATATCTATGGATCAAACCAGAGTATATGGACTGTTTGGTGTAGAACATACCTTGTTAAGGCTAGAAGCTTATGGGACATCAAAGCTCCAAATTAGTCATCTTGGTGTTGGAAGAAATTGCTCCAGTTGAGGTGTCTTTCTGGGCCTCTCTCTAATCGGGAAAAAGATTGGCGTCGGCAGAGGCACATTCTTTCTGGACTGACATCTGGTTTGGGACTCTTTCAAGATTCCCAAACACAAAATTATCCTGTGCCTGGCTATCCACATTTGATGGAAAGGCCATCTCCTACCTCTATTGGCCAAATGCATGCCCATTATGCCTATCAGAACTAGAAAGCCATTACACTTGTTTTTTGAGTGCCAATTCACATCCCCAATCTGGCACTATCTCCAATTGAAAATGTGGATTCTTCATTTTCCCTGAAATTTGGTCATCCCTAATCGAATGGAGCTCCCATCATTGGAAGGAGAAAAGCATCAGCAACCCGATGGAAAGGAATTCAAGGGTGTTCAGATGTGCTTCTTCAACCCATAACTCTGTTCTTTGAAAAATCACCATTCTGCTCTCCTTTTGAATATAGCGTATTGGGATGCTGTGCTTGGGCTGGACCTAAGTCTAGCTACATCAGGTCCCTTTGTACATTTTTGTTTTTTTGTTTATTTTTCATTGCGCCTGTAATTCCTAGCACTCAGACCCGTTCTATATCTTTACAATCTTACACTTCTATAAACTTGTTTGAACCTCCCACCAAAAAAAACAGCACATTGTGTTGCATTTTAAAAGAAATTTTGCTTTCATCAAATTTCCATACTTTTTCATGAAGCTGACCTTTCAACTTCAAGTGAACTATATCCTATAACTCTTTGAACTCCTCTCTCATTTATTAGGCTTCTGATCTTGTGGACACCATCCCATCCTCCCTTGCTTGCATAAGTATTTAATAGTAGCTTATAGTAACCTGCTGTTTTTGGATCCAATTCAACCATGCTCTCTTCTGCTGATTTCCCTATGTCAAACTTTCCATGTATCTTACAAGCACCGAAGAAGGCACCCCAAATGCTGATGTCTGGTTCCATCGGCATTTGCTTGATGAACTGAAAGGCTTCGTCAATGAAGCCTGCCCTCCCAATAAGATCAACCATAGTCACAAAGTGCTCCATCTTTGGTTCAATTCCAAACTGTCCAACCATATAATCAAAGACTTTGTGGCCTTCGCTAACCATTCCGGTGTGACTACAAGAAGAAAGTACAAGAAGGAAACACACACCATCAGGATCTATGCCTCTCTTCAACATCCGGAAGAAACTCATCAAAGCAGCTTCTCCATGCCCATGCATTCCCAAGCCATGAATGATGGCGCTCCACGCGTTTACACTTTCTTTAGTGACTGTAAAAAGTACTTGACAAGCTAAATCTAGTCTTCCACACTTCGAATACATGCTAATCAGAAGTGCTTCAACAGAGACATCTGAACTGAACCCATTCTTCATAACATAACCATGGATAGTTCCTCCTATTCGCAAGCTTGGTAAATCTGCACAAGCTTGGAGGGCAATCGATAAAGTAGCAGCAGTTGGCTCTACGCCCTCTGTGTGCATCTTGCAGACGAAATTGAGCACCATAACTAACAGCCCGTTTCTGCAATACCCACTAATCATCACATTCCAAGTTACAGCATCTTTATGATGAATCTCATGAAAAAGTTTCTCAGCAGAATCTATCATCCCACATTTTGCATACATGTCCATGATAGCAGTTGATATAGTTGTGTCTGAAGAACCCAATACAATAACATAAGCATGAACTGATTCGCCAATATGAATTGCTCCTAATAAACCAATTGCAGGAAGAACAATTTTCAGAGTCACTTTATCTAATCCAATCCCTTCAAATCTCATCAAACTACAGAGCTCCAATGCATCTTCCGGAAGACCATTCAATGCAAATCCTGAAACCATGCAATTCCAAGAAACCAAATTCCTTTTAAGCATTTCATCAAAAACATAATGGGCAGATTTCAAAGCCCCAATTTTGGAGTACATGTCTATCAGTGAATTCGCGACAACGACATTGTGATCAAACCCGGATTTTATTATCCGGGTATGGACTAATTTGCCTTCAGTGAAAGCAGTGAGAGCAGCACAGGCCTTAAGCACATATGGGTATGTGAAATTATCAGGTTTTGCATTGGAAAGCTGAAGAATGAAGTAAACATCAAGTATTTGATCATGAAGTCCAATGTTGGACAGTTGTTTAAGCTTGTCATTTATTAAATAAATATGGGTTTCAAGGAAAAAATGAGGATTGACACAAAAGGTTGATGAGGAAGATATTTGTGGTGATTGGTACTGGAAATAATGAGCACTACTCTTACACTTCAATATTAATCCAAGAGAAGAAGAAAGAAGAGGCTTCAACTTGCCAACCAGCTTTAGCATGATGGAAGTGTGATACAAACAAAGGCCGGAAAGTAATTGTATATGTATTTTAATGTGGTTAAGATAATTAAATTTTATAATTAAAAATACTAAAAGAAAAAAAATAAATCTGAAATCACAAATATATGAAATGACAACAATACCCCTCACAAACTTCTATATATTTTACACGGTTGGATGTGCCATATTTGGATGGGAAAATTATTAGATGGTTCTGGTCTATTTGACACTTGGTGAACTAATTCAATGAAAGTTTTCTAATCATGAAACTTTGTAATTTATTAATATACTCTTATAGGGCCATTTTCTGAATACGAGAGTCTTTATTTAATTGATCCACCAAGTACCATCTAATGATTTCTCTGTTTGGATGCCTCTATTAGACCATTTCTCTCTCTATGAATAACTATTTTTTTTCTCTCTATAACATCTACACACTCTCTCCATTCTCTCTCTCTCAAATATTTTTCTTGCACAGATAACACATGCATACATATATAAATATATGTATTATTTATATGTTTTTCAACAATTAATAAATAAGAGAATTTGAACAAATAAAGAGATTTCAACACTGAATTTTTAATTATACCCATTGTTTTTACATTCCTAGTGCTTATATTCATTTCAGATTTCTTTCAATCAATTAACAGTTAAAAAAAAAAAAAAAAACCCACTTAATCCAGAGTGAATTCATAAAAACTTTACTGTTTCGAGATTTCTGTCATTTGTGGCTATGGCAACCATTTGTACAAAATAAAAATAAAAAAAAATGAAAGAAAACAAAAGAAAATTTCCATTCAGATTAAATACAACAGTTCAGTACAGAACTCTGTGAAACATAATTAGGCAATTCAATTTTCATAAGAGATTCAGATGATCTTTATATTACTTTTCTCATTTTGTTTTCAGCTAAGATTGTTAACTAGTAACTATAAAACAGCAATATACAAACTAACAGACAGAATATCCTTTTTCCAGTAACTGAAGGAGTAAAAAGGAACAACAAGAGTAACTAACTAACAGAATATCCTTTTTCCATTAGCCAACAACAGCAGCAGTCATTACTTTCTCACGTAACTCCAATGAATTCTACAACATAGATTTACACTGTGTATCCCGATTGTGTACATTTTACAAACAAGAATTTTTTTACCATTGAACTAAAACTCTATATGAAAGAGATATATACACTTGGTGTTTTAGCCTTTAGGCCAAAAAACTAGCATGCCTGCACAAGGAGCCTTTATTGTTGGGGTTGATCCGAAGCATCTGCTTCAGAGGAGCATAGGCCTAGCAACATTTTCGCGCGGAGGAGAGGTGCCCCATTTGCCTCCTGGTTCTATTGGTTCAACTATGCAAACTCCACCATCAGCAAGACCCAATGCAAACTGATTAGGTTTTGATGGATGTGCCGCGATCACTAGTGGATGGACTCTCGAGCTGTCAAATTACTTTTTCAGATACTTGCAACAACAACAAAGGTAAAAACGAAAAAGCCTTTCCTATTTTACAAGAAATTGTGGAACTACTCACCTTGTACCGGCAGGTAGATAAGAAGTAGAGTTAATTATGCATCTCAATTGTAATGTAGGTGAAGCAGTAAGAATTCTGACACTTCCATCATTAAAACCGACGTATATTGACTGGCTATCGCAGGAATATGTCGCATGTGTGATCAGATGAGGATCTCTTCCTTCTGGTGGAATCCACTATTTTAGAAACATAAATTGCCAATAAAAATATCAGAACTCGAGGAATATCACTGATCAAACTAACATAATGATGTCTCACATGCTTGCTTGAATTCATACATGGACTCATAAGATATCCAACAAGAATTTCCAAGTGATAAGAGTTTCAAAAGTACAAGTGAAAACCAATGCTTAATCTGAATAAATCTAACAGGAACAAATTTAAATTTTTATGCCACACCTGATTAAGGAATTTCAACGTAGGTGCTTTATATATGGCTATGTGAGTTGCATGTACTGCAAGTAAACATGTCTGCTCTTGGTGAAATTGTATGCACTCTGTAAGAGGAACCATGGCTCGTCCAACTGGAATCTGCGAGCGTTTACTCCTTCGTTGCTGCCATCCATCTGTGCTCCAAACACACAGCTGTACAAACAAACTGGAATCACTATCTGTATAAATCCAACATGTAACATTTTGCCAACTTAAATCAATATTTGGTTTGATACAGGAGGTAAAATAACTGAAATATAGATGAAGCCTGAAGGAATCAACATATGTTTATTCTACTAATAAAGCATCATCCCCAACAAGGGCTGTGCTTGCAGTCTATAATAAGGTGGCACCAACATCAACCGTGAGGAGACTGAAAAAACATAAAAATAAAAGTCAAACACTAATCTAAGTAAGAGATAGTGGAGTTCTTCAGAGTTCAGACTATTGGCTATCACTTGGAATTTTCGGTTCTTTAAATTTCTTACATATAAGTCACTGCATTTTCTAACATAAACAAAAAAAAATAGATAAACATATTGCCTTCATATCTTACCTGTGAATCAGCTCCTGAAGATACAAGCACATGTAGAACGTTAGAGAAGGCGAGTCCTGTTATTCTTTCCCGATGGCCTTTGAGCTTCCAATTGACCTGTGTAGAACATGCAAAATGTTAATCGAATAACTATCGTATTTTTCAGCAAAACTTACTCACAAACATTAGGCTTTAATTTAAACTAAGGACAACCTCATCTAACCGGGAATATATTTGGATAGAAGAGTCTTCCATGCCTACGGCAATGATATCGCTGTCCTGGTGATCATAAAACGCAATATATGTTGCTGTAGGTGGAGGGGGCGCAAACGTTGCAATTCTGTACATCTAGAAATCACAACCACCAAAAATAAAAAAGTTTGAAAAATAATAGAGGCAAAATGTAGAAATTTTCTGTCCACAAAGAAAGCTCCCAATAAGTTTTCAAATATTAGTCATTAACCCTAAAATTTCCACAGTAATTTTTCTGTATACACTTCAAAATAGGTTTGACCATATATAACTTATGCAAACCAAAAAACAACTGTAACTGAGAAAATGGAGCCGCCAAAATTTGTAGCTTATATCATGATTCCAATATTTATAGACCATTTAAATCCCAAGCAGATAAAAAATCGTTGAATTTGATCTCCTAACAATGAATAGAACCTAGGGTGCAACTGTATCTAACAGAAATTAATAACCATTAAGTTCCCTTATCATACTTTTTCAGTAGTTAGTGATAATAAAATAACCAACTGTAAATGAGGAAACATGGAGAAGTGGTGGAAAGGCCATTTACCTCAGGTGTGGTCAGAGAATATAAAGAGACTTTCCCCCCTGAAGCTGACATAGCAAAACAACCATTCTTTGAAAGTGCAAGGCATGGAACTGCAACTTCAGGGTTTGTACCACTAATATCATTGGCCGTCCATATTCCACTTGAAGGTTGCCATAGTTGTGGTACAACACTAGCAGTTGCCTATAAGAGGAATGTTGTGTATAGGAAGCAGTCCTATGGACATTAATGGAACGGATGAAAATGTTCAGCTTTCTACAGCAGGTGAAGTTACCTTGCCGGCTTCATCAATCATCGACCATGCCCACCTCTTGTGCACAGCATTGGCCGTTAATGCCAATATGGCACTTCCAAAATTTGTATATATCAATCTGGAAACCTGAAATGTTGAAAAAGCGACAGAACCATAAAAATTTGAATACCAAGCACATTAACAGGTCTAACTTGAGTTCAATGAAGGGAAAAAAAGTGTTGAAGAAAATCTTAGATTGTTAACTTTTAGAAATCTCAAACTTGGCAAACTTAAATAGAAATATATTATAAGTTCTGAACTTTCAAGTTCAATAAAGCAACTTTAACACAACGTAGTTAAGCCTAACCCCTGGTATATAAATCATTCAACTGAAGACATGCCACTGACCTCTGCACATCAGTAGAGGCAGCAATGGCTTTGGTCAAGTCTAAAGAAACACATCACCATGCGTGTCCATGTGCATGTGTAAGTGTGCTTGCATGCATCTGTATAATGTGTCTTAACTGATTAAATTGTCCTATCTCCAAAACATGAGAAGGGAAGTCATCTTTTGCGATAAATTAAAACTGATGAAGAGAAAAATTGATTTCTGATGAACCAAAACGGTTAAAACTGCATATTATTGCACATATGAATATATTTCTCACTCATCTCAAAAAATGCTTTTTTCCCATCCTTTTTGGAAAAGAAAAAAAAATCTTTTGCGGAGGGCATCACTTGGCAAATGTATGTGAGAGAGAGATGAAAAGGAAGCAGGAAAATTAAAGACTAAAAAGAGGCAGCATATCATCTGCAATTTAAATAACAAATTATAATGTTAAGGATTAAAGAAAACTGTACAGAACAAAATATATATATATATATATATATATATCTAAATATTTCAAACTGAGTAGACCCGGACCCTTGATGCTGCAAAACTGTCTGGGAGTCTTAAGGAGCAGCATTGTGATGATTCATTGATTTCTGTCAGTTTCCAGTTCCTAGAATTGTCTACCGACTCATCAGCAATTCTGGATTTTTCATCTGCCGATCTTTGGTTTATGTTATTCTACGGGAGCTCAAAAGGAAAAAGTTAATCACTAAATGCACAAGTGTTTAGTAAATCTAAATCTGACATATAAGCAAAAGTTGCAGAGATATAACAAAATCACAAAAAATTATGCAATTATTACATCGACAACATTTACATACAGGTTAATAAACAAAATGCTCTTCTGATGGAGAAGGGAACTCTCACCAATGCAACAACCAATGCTACTGGAGCATTTGGATCTGAAAAGCTTGATCCAACAATTGCCCAAGTTTGTTCCAAGAAGGTTCATCAAAGGTAGCATTCAAATTTTCAAAAAGGATTTATTATAAAGTAGATAATTTAGAAGGGAAAAAAAAAGTAGGCTTCCGTGTGCACGGATGCACACTCAAATCCTAAGCATATCAACTGGCCCTCATGTCAGAAATACAAATAGAGGTTCATTATGGCATACATTAGATCAGACCTCATAGGAGGAGAGTTTTTTTAGGTACATACAACCTGACATCAGATCAAAATCTAACAGAGAGAGACCTCATGTCAATGCCTTCTTTCTCCTTTCTCAACTTAATTTAGTGCATTCGATGTTTACTTCATATAATAATTAATTACACGAGGTTAGTTTCCTTGTGTAGTTTCATATCCTCACAAACTTAATCACTATACCAGCGAAGTCAAAAACTCGCGTGTATCCTAATTAGTTGCGTCAAATTCAACTAGAAAAAATATTCTAGAATTCTACTGCTGAAAGTGAACTGGGAACATGATCCAAATCCCTAAAGACAAAACTAAAATAGAATCAAAAACCTTTCAGACATGTTCTGAACTAAGAAAAATACATCAACCAACCCCTTTTAGCCCTTTGTTCAATGATAGCGCTACTCTATGACTAAAAGTTCCAAATTAAATTGTTCTATAGGATGATTAAATGCACACAAAAAGTTAATTATCAATTCATATACTTATTTTAGGAAAAAGAATCAAGTCCTGACCCTTGAAGAGGATCTCCAATTTTTACTATATCCATGAATCACACAACTTAGAGCTTCAAGGTGTGAGCATCATACACATCTCAAAATCATGGAAAAGAAAGTATTAGGAGTGCCACAAAATCCATAGAAAATACAGAGGATTAGTTATGTATTACTTCATCCGGAATCCCAGAAGGTGTCAGTCTCTCCAACACATGTTCAGAATCTGCTGTTAGATAGATTACAGGAGGAATCCCAGGTTGGTTTAAGATAGCTGCTACAGTAAGACAAATACATGGGTAGAAGGCATCAGCTATGGGAAAGCACTCGTCAATTAGGAAAAAGAATAATGATGAAGAATGTTTTATCACAAACATCCTTCATATAAATTTCCATCATGCAAAATTTAAAAAGCATGCCGTTCACGTATCATTGTTACTTTGTTGGACACGAATGAAATATTTCTTATTACTAACATTTTCATCCATTTCAAGTATTGTTCGGTATGCTGGTAAGCCATAGCAATAAAAAAATTGCTTCACAAGCAGCTAGTGTAAAAGCATAAAGGACAATACCTCCACTGTTAAATGCAGCAAAACCGGCAGAAGATGAAAACGCAGTAAAATCAGTGGGCTTGCCAGAAGATGAACTATCCATCCGTCCGTCCTGCAAGATATGTTGGTAGAGGAGCTAGCGCGGGCTGAAATGGATTAAAAAAAGTAGCACCCCAAGTTAGATTTCTAAAAACCAGAAAGCAGCCCATAAACTCATTGTAGTTCACTCATACCATGAGCACCTAGAGGAGAAAAAACCCCTGATTTGGTTGGCTGCTTAGCAAAGGGAGGTTTGTAATAAAATAAAAAATGATTGTAAGTGATATATTTGTGATGTTTTAAATTCAGAAAAATTAAAACAGGGTTTATCTAATTCTAAACAGCTGTTAAGGTTCAATTAATTAGGTTTGAGGCTTTGAGCAACTAGGTAAAAATAATTAAAATAAAAAAACTACCGAATTTAAATTCTGTATTTTCCCTTCATTTTCTTAATAACCAGATATAAGCATCAATACACAATTTCTCTGCTCAACGACATGCTTGTCTTCAAAATGGTCGAAACTGCAAAAAGTTATTAAAAATATATATATATATATATAGAAACACTGACAGATTCATACAAACAGATCAAACAAACACACTCCACCAGAAATCCCTAAATTCCAAACAAACGCATCAGACAATGGATTTCTAAGTCCCGATTGTTTACATCTCATATACATTAAAATCAAATATGTATATATAGGGTATGATATTGGCAGTCCAAGAAAAGAATGGCACAAACACTCCTGGAATCCATATATCCCCAATAATTAGAGTGCCTCATGATTTTCTTGAACTTCGAATATCATCTTGCTATATTTATTCGTCTATACATATATATCATGTGTACATCTACATGTGTGTGTGTGGTGTGTGGTGTGTGTGTGTGTCAAAGAGAGAGAGAGATGTGAAGGGATCGAAGACTAAATAATGCAATCGCGAGAACGAATTTACACTGTTGAATATTCAAGAAGAAACGGAATCTAGCTCTTGAAGCTTTTCTTGAATTCTGTTTCATCTATGTATGTATACATTATTTATTTATGTATATATATTATTCAAGAAGAAACGGAATCTAGCTCTTGAAGCTTTTCTTGAATTCCAGTTTCATCTATGTATGTATACAGTATATATATATATTCATTATATGTGTGTGTGTGTGTGTGTGAATTAATGCGAAAGTTAAGTAGTGTTTGTACCTTGATTGAACGAGAACGAATTGACGATCGAGTTTGTAGAAGACGAAGACAGAGGCGGTCTAAGAAACTAATCTTTCTCTCTCTACAGATTTGAAGAGGGAAAGAGAGAGCGCGCGCAAAGGCTTCAGACAAGTTGGTTTTAAAATGGAAAACAAAAAAAAATTAAGGCACGGACCTACTCTGTGCAAGTGAGGGGGGCCGAGCTTGGACGTCTTTCACGCACAAATTTGTTAAATTTATAATAATGCCCTCCACAACATATTTGCAAAAAACTACAAAAAGTGGCCCCCATTAAATTTTGACACTTAATTTCACATTTGATTGAATTTATTATTAAAATTTAAATTTATTTTTGTTGTAATTAAATAAGATGAACATTCAAAACAAAGTGATTTCTCCAAAAAGGGATTGTCCGTGAGCTGATGGATTTAGAATTTTTCTATTCTTATGGGTTGGAAAATGATTCTATGATTCATGCTTATTATTATTTTTTTTAAGGTAATTTAGAATTGTTCACTTCTTGTTGTAGTATAAAGCCACAGTGAACTACGTAACTTATAAAAGTAAAATATGGTAAAAATTTATAAAGGGTTGAATTAAGTAAAAAAATAATTAAATCAATCAATCAATCACTTAAAATATCACCCTACTTTGGTATCTTTAAGCACTTAAATAATTAAGGGAAGAATAGAGTTATAGTTGTATCCTAGTGGTGTTCCGGAAGTAAGTCCAACAAACGGTGCACAAGCGTATTCCTTAAAAATAAATAAATAATAAAATTAATTAATTAATTAATAACAATAATAATCCAGAGTAGATTCATGGAAACATGCTGTTATTTGTCATTTGCATTTGCGACTATAGCTACTATTTCTCTAATAAAATAAAAAATAAAATAAAAAAGCAATAACAAACAGAATATCCTTCTCAAGTAACTGGAGGACAGAAGAAAAGAAGAAACAAGAATAAAGGCCATTAGCCAAGCACATTCATCACTTCCTCATGAACTCCACTGAAAATTCAAAACACATTCCCTTTGCAACAGATTTACAATATGTATCTCCACAATTTTTACATTTAACAAACGAGAGAATTTTTAACACCATGCCTTGGATTCAAATTGATTTGACACCCCCTTATTACCATTGAACTAACTCTAGTATGACGGCTTCAAGTATTCTATACACCCAAGTCCTAGTCTACCATGGAAAAGAGTTGGGGTTGATGGCAAGATTCAAACTGGCTGGCTTCGGATGTGGAGCTAGGCCCAGCACCATCTTCGTGCGGAGGAGAGGTGCCCCATTTGCCTTCTGATTCTAGCGGTTCAAGTACACAAACTCTGCCATCAGAAAGTCCCAAGGCAAACTGATTAGGTTCTGATGGATGTGCCGCGATCACAAGTGGATGGACTCTCGAGCTGTCAAATTATTCTGTCAGATGCTTACAACCAAGAAGAAAGGTAAAACAGAAAAGCCTTTCCTCTTTTAATCTTCTAAAAGAAATTGTGGAAATACTCACCTTGGATTGACAGGCAGATAAGATGTAGAGTTAATTATGCATCTCAATTGTATTGAAGCTGAAGCAGCAAGTATACCGACACTTCCATCATCAAAACCGACGTATATTGACTGGCTATCACAGGAATATGTAGCATGTGTGATCAGAGGAGCACTTGGTTTTGGTGGAATCCACTATTTTAGAAACAAAAATTGCCAATAAAAATATCAGAAGTCCAGTAATATCCCTGATTAAACTAACAACATGTTCAAAGTAATTTACCCAATGACGTCTGCACATGCTTGCTGGAATTGATACATGGACTCATAAAATATACAACAAGAATTTCAAGTGATGGAGTACAAGTGAAAACCGATGTATAATACGACACTTGGGGTTGTGAGGATGCTTAATCTGAATAAATCTAACAGGAAAAAAATTAAATTTATATGCCACACCTGATTAAGGAGTTCCAACATAGGTGCTTTATATACGGCTATCTGAGTTTCATGCACCACAAGTAAACGCGTCTGATCTTGGTGAAATTGTATGCAGGTATCTGTAAGAGGAACTGTGGCTCGCCCAACTGGAATCTGCAAGCATTGACTCCATTGTATCTTCCATTCATCTGTGCTCCAAACACACAGCTGTACAAACACACTGAATTCACTATCTGTATAATCCAACATGTAACATTTTGCAAATTAATCAATAATTGGTTTGTTACAGGAGATAAAATAACAACATTATAGACGAAGCCTGAAGGAATCAACATATATATTTATATTACTAATGAAGTTAATTTTAAAGAATCATCCCCAACCAGGGCTTCACTTGCAGTCTATATAATAATGTGGCATCAACATCTACAGTGTGGAGACTGACAAAAAAAAAATAAAGTAAAATGCCAAATGCTGTTACGCTGAGCGAAGTAAGAGATAGTGGAGTTCTGCACACTATTGGCCATTACTTGTTATTTTATTTTCTTTTAAATACTTAAATATAAGTTACTGCAATTTCTAACATAAACAAAAATAAATAAATAAACATATTGCCTCCAATATCTTACCCGAGAATCAGCTCCTGAAGATACAAGCACCTTTAGAACACTAGAGAAGACGAGACCTGTTATTCTTTCCTGATGGCCCTTGAGCAAGATTTGAAGCTGTGTAATGGAACATGCAAAATGTTAATCAAATAAGTGTCGATCTATCAGCAAACTTACTCGCAAACATTAGGCTTCAATTTAAACGGAGGACAACCTTAGCTAACTTTGAATAATATATTTCGATAGAAGAGTCTTCCATGCCTATGGCAATGACATTGTTGTCCTGAGGATAAAATGCAATATATGTTGCTGTAGGTGGAGGGTGCGCAAACGTTTTAATTGTCTGCAGTTAGAAAGCCAGTAACGAAAAAGAAAAAGGTATTAAAAATGGTAGAAAATTTCTGTCCACAGAGAAAGGTCCCAATAAGTTTTCAAATATTAGTCATTAACCTTAAAATTTCCACAGTAATTTTACTTTATTCACTTCAAAATAGGTTTGACCAAATCACGTATGTAAACCAAAAAACAACTATAACTGAGAACGAAGGAGCCAAAATTTGTAGCTTATATCATGATTCCAAGATTTAATTTATCGAACTTTTACATCACAAGCAGATATAAAATAATAAAATTTGATCTCCAAACAAAATATAGTACCTAGGGGGTTAAGTTGTAACTAACAAAAGTAAATTTTGCATAGAGCTCAGTTAAATCAATAATCATTAAGTTCCTCTATCATACTTTTTCAGTAGTTAGTGATAATAAATTAACCAACTGTACATGAGCAAGACGGAGAACTAGTGGAAAGGCCTTTTACCTGAAATGTCATCAGATCATATACAGAGATTTTCTCCCCAGAAGCTGACAAAACATAAGAGCCATTTGGTGACAGTGCAAGGCAAGGAACAGCATCTTCAGGGTTTGTATCACTAACATCATTGGTCATCAATATTCCACTTGAAGGTTGCCATAGTTGTGGTACAACACTAGCAGTTGCCTATAAGAGGAAAGTTGTGTATAGGCAGCAATACTATGGACATTAATGGAACAGAGTGAAAATCTTCAGCTTTCTACCACAGGTGAATAGTACCTTGCCGGTTAAGTTTTCATCATTCCTCCATCTCCAGAGCTTGTGCACAGCATTGGCCGCTAATGCCAATATGGAAAGTCCTGATTTTGTATACATCAATCTGGAAACCTGAAATGTTGAAAAAGAGAGAGAACCATAAAAATTTGAATACCAAGCACACTAAGAGGCCTAACTTGAGTTCATTAAGGGGACAAAAAAGAAAGAAAAAATAAAAAAGTTGAAGAAAGTCTTAGATTCTGAACTTTTAGAACCTCTCAAACTTGGCAAACTCAAATAGAAATAATTGTAAGTTCTGAAATTTCAAGTTCAGCAAAGAAACTTTCACTCAACGTGGTTAAACCTAACCCCTTGGAATATAAATCATTCAGCTGAAGACAAGCCACTGATCTTCTCTGCACATAAGTAGAGGCAGCAATGGCTTTGGTCGAGTCTAAAGAAACACATCGCCATACGTGTCCATGTGCATGTGCATGTAAGTGTGCTTGCATGCGTGTGTATAATGCGTCTTAGCTGATTATGTTGTCCTATCTCCAAAAACCTAGAGAAGGGAAGTCATCTTTTGAAATAAACTAAAATAATGATGAGAAAGAGAAAAATAAATTACAGATGAACCAAAAAAAAGTTATAATTGCTCATTAGTGCACATACGAGTGTCTTTATTTCTTAACTCATCTCAAATGATCAATAAAAAAAAATGAGTTCTTTTGTGGGGGCATCACTTGGCAAATGTGTGTGTGTGTGAGAGAGAGAGAGAGAGAGGAATCAGGAAAATTAAAGATTAAAAGTAAGCAGCATTACATGTGTAATTTATATAACAAAGTATAATATTAAGGATTAAAGAAAACTGTAAAGAGAGAGAGAGAGAGAGAGAGAGAGAGAGAGAGAAAAAAATCTACAGTTTCTAAAAAGTTTAACAGAGTAGACCCGTACCCTCACTGCTGTCAAATTATCTGGGAGTCTTAGGGAGCGGCATTCTGATGGTTCATTGATTTCTGTCAGTTTCCAGATCCCAGAATTGTCTAACGACTCATCAGCATTTCTGGATTTTTCATCTGCCGACCTTTGATTTATGCCATTCTACAGGAACTCAAATGGAAAAAGTTAAATCACTAAATGCTCAAATGTTTAGTAAATCTACATCTGACATCTGAGCACAAGTTGCACAGATACAACAAAATCACATAAAATCCTATGCAATAATTGCATTGACAACATTAACACACAGGTTAATAAATAAAATGCTCTTCCGATGGAGAAGGTGACTCTCACCAATGCAACCACTGATGCTACCGGAGCAGTAGGCTCTGAAATGCTTTTTCCAACAATTGCCCAAGTTTGTTCCAAGTAAATATGGTAGCAATCAAAATTGATTTATTATAAAGTAGATAGTTTAGGAAAAAGGGGGTGGGGTGGGCGGGGAAGAAAGAACGAAAGTAAACGTGCATGTGCACAAATACACACACTCAAATCCTAAAATATCAATTGTTCCTTGTGTCAGAAATATGAATGGAGACCCAATATAAAGAGGGTTCATTATGGCATATATTAGATTAGACCTCTTAGAAGGAAAGTTTTTTAGCTACATACAACCTGACATCAGATTAAAATCCAACAGAGAGAAAAAAGAAGCTCAAGTCCTCATGTCAATGCCTTCTTTCTCCTTTCTCAACTTAAGTTAGTGCATTTGATGTTTACTTTATATGGTTAATACAACAGGTTAGTTTCCATGTGCGGTACTTCATATCCTCCCAAAATTAACTTCTATGACTAAAAACACTTAAATTGTGGGTCACATTATACAGAAACATTTAATGTAGACAGGAAAAGGATGTCTTCTGAAAAACTGCCCAGTCTAACATTCATATTATCTCCTATTAAGAAGAAAAAAAAAAAAAAAACACTAGAAAAATATTCTAAAATTCTAATGCCAAAAGTGAAATGGGAATGTGATCCAAATCCCTAAAGACGAAACAAAAAGAGAAGCAAAAACCTTTCAAATGTTTTCTGAACTAAGAAAAATATATCAACCAACTCCTTGTAACACTTCGTTCAATGATAACAGCATTCTGTGACTACAAGCTCCAAATTGAATTTTTCTCTATGATGGATTAAATGCATAGAAAAGGTTAATTTTCAATTCATATATACTTATTTTAGTATAAAGAATCAAGTCCTGATCCTTGAAAAGGATCTCCAATTTTACTATTTCCATGAATCACACAACCTAGAGCTTCAAGGTATGATGAGCATCATAGACATCCCAAAATCATGGGAAAAAAAAGTATCAGATTTTTTTATTTATTTTTTTTTAAGAAAAGAACAAAATTAAAGCTCTAACTTTTTGATATAGAGCTTAAAATGCTAGCAATAGAGTTTAGAGTGCCACAAAATCCATGGAAAATACAGAGGATCAGTTATGTACTACTTCATCCGGAATCCCAGAAGTTCCGAGTCTCTCCAACACATGTTCAGAATCTGCTGTTTGATAGACTACAGCTGAGTTGTTCGTTGGAGGAATCCCAGGGTGCTCTAAGATAGCTGCTACAGTAAGACAAATACATGGGGTAGAAGGCATCAGTTATGGGAAAGCAATCGTCAATTAGGAAAAAGAATAATGATAAAGAATGTTTCATCATAAACATCCTTCTTATAAATTCTCGCCGTTCACATATCATTATTACTTTGTTGGGAAATGAAATATTTCTTATCACTAATATTTTCATCCATTTCTAGATTTGTTCGGTATGCTGGTAAGCTATAGCAATTAAAAATTTGCTTTACAAGTAGCTAGTGTAAAAGCATAAAGGATAATGGTACATATACCTTCACCGTTAAATGCAGTAAAACCAATGGGCTTGGCAGAAGATGAAAATGCAGTAAAACCAATGGGCTTTTCAGAAGAAGAAGGGTGAGGGATAAAAGATGGATTATCCATCTGTCCTGCAATATATGTTGGTAGAGGAGCTGGCGCTGGCTGAAATGGATTAAAAAAAGTAGCACCCCAAGTTAGATTTCTAGAAATCAGCCCATTAATTAGAATAACTCATTCTCGTTCACTTACACGATGAGCACCTGGAGGCGAAAAACCCATTGCTTTGGGAACATCACCCATTAGAGGATTAGCTACAGAAGATAGGGGTTGTGCACCAATTGGCTGCAACTGGCTACAAGAAGGGTCCAGAAGTGGGGTTATTGTGTCAGCGATAGGCTTTGGATTCCCATGAAACGAATACTGCTGATTAAAACTGCAACACAACAAAGAGCAATGTCAACTGAAAACATATCTTCATTTAGAAGAAACAAATCAACTCTACCAAGCCAAAGATAATGAATGACCTTTGGTTAACTAGAGTCCACAGTCCGGAGTTCAAGTGAGAAAAATTTAGCTTTTCACGCAACAGGGGGTTCCTTTGAATCAAATATTCAAGTTGCGCAAACAAATTTCTCCTAGCAGACTCGGTATCTCCATATCGAGATAGTTGCTTATTTTCTCTGCAAGACTCCCAAGTTAATATATTTACATTAGAACCCAATAATACAGCAAAACTTAAGTACAGGACAAGTACCTAAGATCCTCCAACATCAGAAGCTCAGTCATTTCTTTAAAAATCTCTTTGTTAATATCCGAAAACACGTTCAAGTCCTTCTTTAGAATATCAACAGCTTTAGCCCAATCGTTCCTACAATTAAAAAAGAGAAAACAGGGAAATATAAATAATAAAAAAACACACCCTTTTTGAAGTAAACTATAAGAGTTGGAGTAAATACAACGTGAACAAAGCACGTAGAGCATGCATCCAATCTATCAATTTATGGCATAGTTTACCTGTCTAAGGCTTCTAGGTACTTCTGCTTTCGGATTTCAAAGAAAATTTTCGTGGAATGTCTGTTGTCATCAACCTTAGTAAATCCAGATAAGTATTTCTCCACCTCATCCCAATCCCCATTGATCACCAGTTCCTCAAAATATCTGACGTTGAAGAAAAATCCCGACTCTCGCTCCAACCTCCATCATATAAGTCAATAATTAACCAATATCAAATTATCCAACCACACCAAATCATGCTATGTGTGTGTGTCATATAGTAACCATCTGGTTGGTTGCTCAGCAAAGGGAGGATTTTAAAAAAGAAAAAAATAATAAAAAATTTGATTGTAAGTGATATATTTGATATGTTTTAAATTCAGAAAAATTAAAAACAGAATCTATCTCATCTAAACAGCTGTTCAGGGTCATTTAAGTTAAGTTTGAGGCTCTGAGCTACTTGGTAAAAAAAAAAAACACTACCGAATTTTAGATTGTCTCCTTTTCCTTCATTTTCTTAACAACCAGATAGAAGCAGATAACACAAAAATGTATAAAAATAAAAGATAACTAAAACTTACTGATGAACAGTCTCTTTAAATTTCTCTTCATCAAGAGAATGAAGTAAAAAAAACACAATTTCTCTGCTCAGAGATGACATGCTTGTCTTCAAAATGGTCAAAACTGCAAAAAATAAAAAATAAAAAAATAAAAAGATAGACACACTGACAGGTTAATACGAACAGATCAAACAAACACGCCCCTCCAGAAATCCTTAAATTCCAAACAAACGCATCAAACAATAGACTTCGTCCCAATTGTTTACATCTCATATACATTAATATCATATATGTATATAGAGGGTATGATATTGGAAGTCCAAGAAAAGAATGATACAACTCCTCCTGGAATCCATAAATCCCAAGAATTAGTGTCTCATACTTTTCTTGAACTTCCAATATAATCTCACTATATTCATGCGTCTATGCATATATATTATACGAGTATGTACATACACGTGTGTGTGTGAGAGAGAGAGAGAACAAATTAAAGTCTTGAAGACTAAAGAATGCAATCGATTAAGAGAACGAATTGACGCTCCACGCTCCCAAAAGAAGTCGTTTCCACTTTATATATATATCATATATATATTGAAGAAGAAATGGAATCTAGCTCTTGAAGCTTTTCTTGAATCCCCATTTCATCTATGTATCTATACATTCTATGTGTGTCAGTGTGTGTGAATTAGTGAGGAAGTAAAGAAGTGTTTGTACCTTGATTGAACGAGAACGTATTGGCGATGGAGTCTGTAGAAGACGAAGACAGAGGCGGTCCTTCAACAAATCTTTCTCTCTCTAGAGATTTGAAGAGAGAGAGAGAGAGTGACAGCGGGCAAAGGTTTAAAAATGAAATCGAGAAAGGGAGAAAGACCACAACTTGATAAGTAGATTGGCTTATATAGAGTTCTGGAAACCCCCGACTTAGAGACCTCAAGCGAATTTATTTGTGATAGTGATATGAATAGGGAGAATTTTATAAAAATAAAAAAAGCCCTAATCGGTATTTTTATCCATTGATGTCTTTGTTTGCTTGTTTTTATCGATCACTCGTTAATTAACTAAAAGAGTTGTTGTAGAGACTAATGATTAAAATGGCAATTGTTAACACCTAAAATATAATTCGAGGCAATCATGCCACGTGGTCAAAGAATATGAGGTCCGAACCTTGGGTTAACCCATGATCATTAGGGTGAAAGATTAATTTCTAATCAGGGTGATCAGGTTTAAGGTTGGGAATCAAAAAGAATGGATTTTTTAGGCCATTAAAGCTGAGATGAGGTTTTGAGCTTATAACCGGTCACAATTGGGACTCTCAGTCTCAATGGTCATGATCATGAGTTTAGGCCAAAATCTTCTCAGTCACTGTGGTCATAAAAGTCTCAGTCCCATAGTCATGAGTTTAGGCCAAAACCTTCTCAGTCAATATGGTTATGACTTTCAGTCTTAATGGTCATGATCATGAGTCTCTCTAAAGACTCATAACCAGCCATGATCAAGACTCATGACCAAATATGGCTATGATTAGTGGTCTCGGATCATAATCACTTGAAGAATCTTTGGGGTAATTCTCAGTCACTATGGACATAAGAGTCTCAGTCCCATGGTCATGAGTTTAGGCCAAAACCTTCTCAGTCAGTATGGTTATGACTTTCAGTCTCAGTCACTATGATCATAAGTTTTAGGCCATATTTCTCTCAGTCACTATGGTCATAAGAGTCTCAGTCCCATGGTCATGAGTTTAGGCCAAAACCTTCTCAGTCAATATGGTTATAACTTTCAGTCTTAATGGTCATGATCATGAGTCTCTCCAAAGACTCATAACCAACCATGATCAAGACTCATGACCAAATATGGTTATGATTAGGGGTCTCGGGTCATAATCACTTGAAGAATCTTTGGGGTAATTCAAATGAAGATCGGCTGGAATCCCAATGATTTAAAAACCCAACAAGTCAGGTCTGGAAACGTGAAAAGAGCTTGAAATAGAAAAGGACAACTTGACAATATCAGAAGTTCAGAACTACAATTGGAAGTTTCTCACCTACATCTGATGAGGAGAGTCAGAATTGTCAGTAATCAGATGCCTCCAGGCTAATGTACAAATCAAGCCAGACATGACAGGTGCAGAGAGCTGAAAATGGCTTGAAGACCAAAATCATCAAGCATGAAAGACAAGGCACCACTTAGTTAAAAATCCTATGTCAGACATACTTTAATTTGCCTATAGAAGGATGTGCAAGTCAGTCAACCTGACCAGCTCAGCAAGGTGGTTAGGAAGGGTCACTTTCAGTTTACAACCAATCAATTTCTAGAGAAACGGTTGAAAGGGACAACACCAGGTGGAAACCTCTATAAATACCCACTCAAGCTTCACAAGGAAGGGGTCCAAGACCATTTCTGAAGTTCAACCTTTAGCATTTATATCACTTAGCACTTAGCTTTTATTTCATCAAGTTCAGTTTATTACTTAGCTTTTATTTCAGCAAGTTCAGCTTAGCACTATCAGTTTAGTACTTAGTTATCTTTCAGCATTCAATCAAGAGTTTGTAATTCATTCATCATTGTAATCAGTCAAGTTCAATGAAGAAAGGTTTGCAGATTCAGGTATATTTATTGTTCAGTTTAAGTTGCTTCTAATTGATACTCATCTTAAATGTTTAAAGTCCTTTCTTAAAGGCAATAGCAACATTAAGGAGAGGGTCATTCCTACTCTCCAACTCTCGCCTGAATCACCTTAGGTCGGTGACTCGACCCAATAGGAATAGTTTGGCAAGAAATATTCGAGTCCATCAAGACTCTAGCACGCCCGCGTTCTAGGTCAGCCATTCATTGGCTAGCGACTTCAGACCACTTTGTGAGCCAAACAACTTTGGCACGCCCGGTGGGACTTTTGTTTTATTCGTGAATGGTCGTCGAGACTAGGTCACAAACTCAGACTTCAGCTGGACAAGCTAACCCTCAAAGGGAAGATCAGGAAGAAAATCAGCCTGCTCCCATTATGCAAGATTCCGGGTCTGAGCATGGAACATTAGGCCAGCCACCAAATGGCGGCCGAAAGTGTCAGCAATATGGTGACACGATTTGAAAGTAGAGTGGAGGGTTCCTGTGATACCCCCGGATTTTCGGATGCGGGTTGGCCAGGCCCACGCCCGACTACCCGAGAATATTAAACAAATTAGCAATAAACGAACACAGAATACAATTAAGGAAACAATAATAAATAAAAATTTGCTGAAAAGAAACTAGAATGATAAACCAAATACTGAAACCTCAGAATAAAATTAAATTAATAAAGAATTATTCTGATACATCCAAATTCTCCATTTCTAATACAACTCGGGAATCCATCTGGTGGACCCCTAATAAAATCATCACTGAGAAATGAACCACCGAAAAAGAATCCAATGCTAAACCATACAGGAACCACCTACGTCGTCAAAAGAATGAGAAGTCATCTCTGCTCAGCACGAACAAGCTCTAAGACCTGGAATCGTCCGTTACCTGAAAAATAATAGTGGGTCAGGCCCACGAACAAGTTCTATCCTAACTACAATCCAAACAGAGACCCGATACGCAGATACATCCTAGACGTCTCAAACATATCTATATAGTCCGTAATAGATAAATATATAGCCACACTACAGGACTCTCACTAACTATGCTGAGGGTCTCAACTTGAATAGAAGGTAACATGCAATACGCACCTGAGTGGGCATGACTACCTAAGCCTAACAGGGTATACCTCAACCAACATAGCTAGCTACGCATCCTACTGCATATACGCACCCTAACCGTCGACTATGAGACTCAAGCTCAAATCGCGGTACCATAATTTATATATACAAATTCCCGTCCAAACCAATATAGTGCCGCTCAACTGATTCGTTGCCATGACACGACATAAAATTAGGATTTAAATGTTTTAATTAAATCCCTACTCCAATTATATATATAAGTTCCTTCCAAATACAATGTTGTGCCGGTCAATAGTTCATTGGTCAAGACACAACATATAATCAGGATTTAAACGTTTTAGTTAAAACCCTATCCATCCTAACACAGAAATATAAACAACCATCCAGTATGTCGTTCAACTGTTTTAGTTGACAGGACATAAAACCATGTAGGATTTAACTGTTTTAGTTAATCCATTCCGTATGTATGAATGGGTTGGAATTAGTGTTTTGATCTAATCCGTCCCTCCGTATGTCACCGTCCCATACCGGTACATACCATGCATATGATCCGTAAATGATACAACATTTAGACAGAATATCAAATAAAGTCTACAATATCCATATAGTTGATAAACACATAATTTCAACAAGTCATCAACTAAAAATCCAGAATCCATCCATGTAATTAAATGAAACAAAGTTTACAAATTCGTCAAGTTAAATTCCAGCATCCAGCCAGGTAATTGACAAAAAATATACATTTATTTCTTCAATTAATTCCAGGCCAACGTCTAATTAGATTGGCAGAGCCTAAGTACAAGTCCAACAATTAAAGTCCAAACCCTAATCCAAATAATTGCAGTGTAATGCTTAATATTACAGCAATTTAAAATTCCAAGCTTAAATTCATGCATTGCATAAAAGTATTTAGTATTTCAACAATTAACATCCAGGATATGCATAGACCAAACTTGTTAATTGAGTGATCCTAGCATACAACCACAACAAGAGTTACAAATATATACATACTCCGTTAAATTGCTAAACTAAAAAAAACAATTAAACTTCCTTCATCCGTTAACAACCTGCACTGCTGTATACCTTCCCACGATTAAACCCCTGAGTATAAAGACCTTAATTTATTAAAAATGGCTCTAGTATAGCATAATATAATGCTTGGAATCCATGTTCCAACTTTTTTTAATTTTTAGACGCAGTTTGCACAATTAAGTCCTTTCGGTCCGCTAAGTCCGTAAACTGCCTGCGTCTTGCCTTAGATTTTCCTACAGTTTAAAACCTTAGCATATAAATAAATTAATGCATCCTAGGACTTTAATATTTCTTGAATTAATATATAAATCCATCTCCCTAACCCAAACACAGCTCAGAAAAACCACCATCGAACCAAACAACACACAAACAGCCCCAGAACACAAATATGATTACAAAGCCTTCTCCAAATAAGTGGAGCAGGCTCTAACCTGCCTAGAGCCGCCTCTTTTAGAGGTAGAGCTTGCTCTACTTCCTCTAGAGCAGGCTCTACTCATGGGGGAGCCGTCTCCTCCCTCCGTGGAGCCGTCTCTTTCCCCTTCTGCGAGCTTCAATCCGTTCCTGCTTTGTTTCAGTCCGTCCTCTTCACCTCTGGTCTATTCCTAACACTCTGTTGGTCTTGAAAACTGATCTTAGGAGTTTAATTAACACCCAGTAGCATCCCTCAGTTTGTTATAACAGTAGGAATTAAAACAACAACAAAAATAACAATCGTCATAACACGCTTTTACGAACAAACACTGAATACAATCTTACAACTACAGTTCCATTCCAACCCCTCTACTCCTCTTAAAAACTGAACCTAAGGTCTTATAACATCCCATTAACATCCCCATGGCTTGTTCATAATAGTTTAATTCAATTACAGTGTTTAAAACCTTAACCGATTAAACATGCTTCCACTCCAAACTGCAAATCAGAGGTACAAGAACTTTAACAGAATAATTCCACACATATAGACGTCTTATTTAGCATATAACAAACATGTATAATTTAATTATTGATCAATTAAAACCCTAGAGACAGTCTAAGGATGCACAGAACACAGGCAACGGGAGAGAGAAAAGAAAGAACTTGCCTTTACAGTTTTGGATTCAAAACTCTGTTGCCGTCGTTCTAAGTTTTTCTGGCAATCCCATTCACTGTTAAATCTCCTATTGCTCCATCTTCCCTTCTCCTACGTC